GACAGGAATTTGGAGGTCCCAGCATGCCGTCCACCTATCACCTGCAGCCAGAATGTTTGCGGCACAGGACCTACCCTTTCTGAAACCACGTTGTGCATCACTAAGTGCTCCCCTCTTTTATAAGTACTCCCTGACATGGTCGTCTACCAGACTCTCCGTTACTTTTGATACCACTGGTAGGAGGGCTATGGGTCGGTAGCATTCTGGGCTCTGCCCGTCTCCACCTTTGAAGATGGGGGACAGAATAGCACCTTTTCACTCTCGTGGAAGCATGTGATTGTCTAAGGAGTATTGAAACAAGTTACACAGCGGACCGCACAAGGCACCCGCACATTGTTTCAGCACAGCCGGTCGGATGTCATCACACCCTGGTGATTTCCCAAGCGGAGGTTTGACAGTTTTTCGAGGACCATGGCAGGAGTTACCCTTATTCCACGTAATCTACTGCGTTTGGTGGTGCCAAATTTCGGTCGGACAGTTGGTAATTTTGGTTTGGCAGGGACGTATTGAGTTGCGTATCGAAGGTGGCGCTAAGGGCTTCGGCGATCTCTAGTCCGGAGGGGTTCTCCCCATTTAGGCCTTTCAGGACTCAAGCCCCCTGGCTGGTGAATTTTCTGCCTGCCATAAACCGATATAGGTTTTTGGGATTTGCCCCGAGCTTTTGAGCAAGGTTCGTCTGGAATGACCTCCCGTCTCCCCTCACTCTAACGTTACATCGATTTCTTAGGGCAATATACGTGGTGTGGTCGGACACCTTTCTGGAGGTCCTCCACTTGTGCCATGCCTTCCTCTTGGCTTTCAAAAGGCGTTCATTGCCTCACTTCAACCATGAGGTTCGTTTCCGCGGTATTGCTGTGATTGCCGGGGCGTTTTCAGAGACAGCCCTCTTGATGATGTCTCTGCCTAGTTCCCAATGTTGGTCAATCGACAGGTTGCTCCACTCCTGGGGTCATGGTGCTGTCGACAGATATTGGTTCATTGCCACGTAGTTCGCTTTGTTGTAGCAAAGACAAGGGCGCGATGCCTCCGATGACAGTTGTCCGGACAGTATCAGATGGAACACTACCGCGCCATGATAGCTGCTGCCGAGGGGGTTGGAACCCGTACATTTCCTACCAGCGGTGGGTCACTGGTAAAAAGGTAGTCCGGTTTGGACGGCTTTCCGCCCGACCTCCAGCAAGTGTCATCACCAATATTCCCCTGCAGCCCAGCCTTTTGGATAGTGTTGAGTAGGTTTCGGTCGAACCTCTGGCTTGAGGTTCCGTCGTCCTGCCCAAGATTGAGAGTCGGAGCATTAAAGTCGCCGGCTATAATGACCTGGTCATATCTGATGGACGTCGCCCGGGACATTACTTGCAGCAGTTGTCGGTTGTCTTCCACGCTGCCAGTAGGTGTTCTGTAGTCGCCTCCTAGTGGGTACTTGGTGTGTTCAACCCTACGTTGGCACCAGATGGAGTCTGGGAGCCCTGAAAGTAGGGTTACAGTTGCTTGTTCACTTTTAAGGTTATCACATATAAGCATCGCCACTCCGCCTCCTTCCTTGAATTCCCTGTCTCTCCTGAACAGACGCATACCGTCTATACTAGTTTCGACGTCACTAGTGTCCGGTGATAACCGAGTTTCTGTCAGGATTATGATCGTTGGGGCAAGGTAGGAACAGAGAAATCGTAATTCCCCCATTTTACTTCCAAGTCCCCTCACATTACTGTAAAGACACTTGGCTATGTTTCTAACGACATGGGGTATCTTGGTGTTGGCAGACTGGAGGGAGTCGTGCGTAGTGGCGAAACTTGCTATAGGACGACCAGCTCCAGTGAGACCGGCCCAATCACGTTTTTCCCACAATGGTTTCTGGGGGTTTCATAGAGTCCAGGCTTGATTGTGCATCTTGTCTGTTGACAGTGATGGTGACTTCGGCAGTGGGCGGTGCTGCCATTTGCTGTTGTCGCAGTGTCTTGGGCCTGCTTTCACAGCAGCGAACATTCCCACTGATGTTATCTTTTACTGTGTACCAAGTTTGCAGTACGCTGGTTAAAAGTTCTTGACAGCCGAAGTTAATAGCCATCAACCGGGTGCCGTTGTCGTCGTCAAATGTGAGGGACATGGCGGTCTGCAGACCGCCGCCGCTGCTATCCCATCTAGCCCCACCCTCTCTGACAACCACTGCCATTGCTGGACGTCGTGAGCATACTTCTCTACGACTGTACCGGTTGTCAGTTCTGGTATGCCGTGGACAACCATAGTTGTTGGTTTAAGCGCTTGGGGCACCTCGGGAGATACTTTTCTTGCTGACCAAGGACGGTCTGGTCTGGCTCTAATGCTGGATGACCCGTTGATCACTAGTGTGTGTGACATCAGCAAGAATCCTTCCGCTTCTTTAGCAGAGCTTAGGATAACTCTCATTGGCGGAGGCTTTCCCTGAGGTGAGTAGTTGCCTTTGTAGAGCCTGCACAGTTTTGCTTCTAGGCCACCCAGTCCTAGTGTGGTGCATACGGTTTCCCACTGCTGCTTGTCAAACGATTCTCCGTTCTCAAGGAGACTATCATGACACACAGGAGTTCTGCCTGTCATCAGCTTCTCTATTTTCGTGTGCTGTGGGAAGGGTGCACCTTCTTTTCCACTACCACCCATTTTTCCCGTTGCACAGTGGGTTGAGCTTCTAAAGTGGCTTCAGGGTTAGGGACGAATGTAGTTGGTCGCGTACCCGGTCGTCGTTTTGGTCTTTTGGGACTATTCACCGGTGTGACCTGCCGGGTACAGTGCTGACACTCTTGCTGCTTGGGCCTAGGGTAGTGGTCTGTGTGGGTGCCGGCATCACAGTAGTCACTGCGATGTCTTTTACGACCTCCATCAGCGAGCCTTTAGAAGAGAGTGGCCTTATACAACACTGTGGGCAGATGTACCAGAACCACGTGCATAGGTAGCGCGCCATGAAGGTGTCATATTGGTCTGGTATGTCCTCGTCACACTGACTGTGCACCCACTTATTGCAGATGTTAAACTCAAGGGCAGCATCCCTGTTGGCCACGGTGAGACCACATGTATGACAGTCGTCAGCCTGACTAGAAGGTTTAGTTAACGACTTTCTTTTTCTTCTCTTTCATCTCTCAGTGGTGGCCTTCACAGGTAGACTAGGGTTTAGGCTGGTGGCACCAGAAAGACATGCTCGTTGATGAACCACAGCACAAAGGTTCACTGGGACAGGAATTCGACTTTTCCCAGGAGGTGGTTGTTGCAACTGTCCTCCCAAGGTCGACCCGTGATCTTTTGCGGCGGCACTAAGCTTTTTGCCTCTGGCTCTCGTTACTACCACTGATGGGAATGTATGTAGCTGGGGTGAGGCTTTGCCTGAGACGTTCCTGACACCAGATTTAGTTAGGAATCGATTACTACTCATTTCTAGTGGTGATTAAGGAGATGTAAATGAGATACACAGATGGTTGTACCAAGCGAAACGTAGGAAAGCAATGATAGATGAAGTAAGCTGTCAACCTTACCTAGGATTGCCAAGTTGTACGACACGGAAGAATGCCCAAAGCTTCCCACGGGTCCAAGGTATAAGATCGAATTAGATAAGTAGCTCTGCAGCTGCAGCAACCTGATCTATAGCAGTTGATCGAGGCAGTTAGACCTACCGCACAGTTGTCCTTTTGGAGGGTGATAGTATTGACCGACTGAAGGCTGTACGTCCTGTAGCAAAACGTTTTTCCAGTGAAATTGTAACTTTCGTAGAGGAAATATCCAATTGGGAAGGCTTATGTATAGTTATTTCCGAGTAGAATACAGACGAGACAAAACACATCAGTATTCAAAGGGCCTCTCCTTTTTCTAATATACATAAACGACTTGCCTCAACGGGTCTCTTCCAAAGTCCTTCTTTCTGCCGAGGACGTGAGACTCTGGAAGAAAATTAAAAGTGAAGAAGACAGTGTTTCTCTACAGGAAGACTTAACTCGACATCACAGTTGGGTAGTCAACAATGAGCTTGAATTTAATCCTGAGAAATGCAAGGTAATACACGTAAAATATGATGCATCTCGTGCATATAGCCTCAACGGCATGGAACTTGAAGCGTCACTGACGGAAAAGGATTTGGGAGTGTTGGTCCCCCAGGACTTAAAATCCTATGCCAACTGTGACAGAAACGCACCTCGTGGGAACTTGGCGTCGGTAACTCTTAGACGAATTTTCGGGCGATTCGATCGTAGATGCTCCCAGCAAAGTTTCAACAGCTTCATACGGCCTCAGCCGGAGTTCGGGACCATCGTCTTCCCCCTTATCTCCAGAAGGACAAACTGAGCCTGGAACGCATCCAGAGGCGTTCGACAAAATCTGTTCAAGGACTCAGGTCTAAAACATTGGTGAACGGCTGGTTGCGCTGGATCTGTATCCTCCGGAATACAGAAGGCTGAGAGGAGACTTGATAATGACCTACAACATTCTGAGCACGCCTGGCCACCCACCCGACACTTATTAAATCTTACCTGCAACGCTAATCTTAGAGGACATGCACAGAAACTAAGCCTGGGACGTAGTGAGCTGGATGTCAGGCACAACTTCTATTCCCCAAGAGTTGTAAAACACTGGAATGCTCTTCCTGAGGATGTGATCCAGGCTACTTCATCTGAATCTTTTAAACGCCGGCTGGGTACCCACTTGATGTGTGTCACATTTTAATCGCCACTTTTTCACCTTTCTTTACTTGTACAACAGGATAACAACCAAAAGGAGTAGTGATCCACGGACTGTGGACGCGGAAGCCAGTTAAGCGAAAGCTTCTATTCCTTCAACAACCATTTGAACCATTTGAGCACCGACCTCCAAACGAGGAGAGCTTTCCCAATAATATGTAGCAACATTGATTACTCACAGCAACAGTATTCACAGGGATCAGCATACGTCATCTGACGTTTCATTCTTGTTTATGAAAATTCGAATTGTAAACTATTGGGCATTGAGAAGAGTCTGACGCGCAAGTAATAAAGTTTCCTCCACAAAGCATGGGTAAGAAAGTGAAAACAGGAAAGGCTAGGAAAGATAGGTTCTACTTCCTTGCCAAAGAGATAGGTAAATGCGTGTCATTAGTCTCTTATTTGATAATATTCAGGGTTCAGATCGAGAGCGGCATTTAAGTTGATTCAGTTAAACCGTCGCTTCAAATTTCTGAATTCGTCGAAAGTGTTAATTGACTTATGCGCTGCTCCTGGAGGTTGGCTGCAAGTAGCAGCCAAGGAAATGCCCGTTGCCAGTCACATTATTGGTGTCGATCTTGTACCCATTCTGCCTATCCCGAAAGTCAAGACGTTTATTGCTGATATAACTTCTGATAAATGCAAGCAGGTCCGTTCACACTTTACTTTTATGCTGTTAGATTTTAAGGAGTGAGCTAAATGGGTTGAAGGCAGATGTTGTTTTGCATGATGGTGCTCCGAATGTTGGAACTTCATGGTCCATTGATGAGTACGGTCAAGGTTTGCATTGCTTAACAACTTAACCCATACAGCTATTCTCTGTCTTAATTCATTTGCGATCGCCACCGATTTTCTGCGTAGAGGGGGTTGGTTTGTGACCAAAGTTTTCAGAAGTCGAGATTATGAACCACTTAAGTGGATACTATCTCAATTTTTCCGAACGGTTCGTGCAATGAAGCCTGAAGCTTCTCGACTTGAGTCAGCAGAAATCTTCCTTGTTGGGCAGTTTTATCTTGCTCCGGCACGTATTGACCCTAAGTTCCTGGATGCGAAGCATGTTTTTGGTGAAGTTGATGCACCAAAAAACCGTGCTACTTTGGTATCGTCATTCTTGAGGGACAGTCGGAAGAAGTAGATATACCTTTTACGGTCTTTAATTTAGTGTTAAGGAAAGCTGAAGGCTATGATGGAGGTGATATGCTGTATCATGAACTACCACTGTCCAAATTTTTGGAGGCAAAGGATCCTCTCGAATGTCTTGCAAATGTTAATAAGGTAATCATATTCATTTAAACTGAGGATTCCAGATTATCTTCGATATTCCGGAAATTACAAGTCACTCATTGACAACTTCCGTGGTTAGAGAGGATTTCGATGACATAAGAGTTTTGGGAAAGAGTGATATTAAGTAAGTGATACCCTCACAATTGTTGTGTTTTGTTTATTTTGTGAAGCTGTTGCTTCGTTTAGTGATTTAATAATTTCCGAGTTTCTGCTTAGTGTGAAAAACCGTAATCCAGAGTAACTTACATCGAATTTTGTCGTTTAAAACTCAGCAATACTTGTTCCAGTCACTAGTTTTCAGTCTGACTGCTGCGACCTCATTCCCCTTACTGATAGTGGCTTGGTGTTCTCTGAGCTTTGTCGGGAACGTTTCATCACTAGACCAAGTGACGTCCTCAGCACTAACTTCGTAAAGAATTGAGGCTAGTGCTGAAGATGTCACTAAACCTAGCGATGAAACGTTCACCACAAATCATCGAAATGTTAGAGAACACCAGACCACCATCACTCTCATCCTGGGCTACAAACCTTCTTCATAACTCCCCTTACTGTTAGAGATTATTGCTTTGTCGTCATGGGAGAATGGTGAGATGTTTTACTCAAGTGCGTATCTAGTTTTTTCTTTGCAACTGCATTTTCACATCTTAACACGTAGTAGTACTGTCAAGTATACTATCAATGAAAGGTGCTTACTCATTATGGCAGTCATCTGGTATTCCGGTTATTAGTTATTAGATGTCTGGGCAATTCTTAGGAAAAAAGCCCTAAGTAACCAGACTAGATTCAATTCTGGTCCTGGATATATCGATGAGGTATTTCTCCTCCACTAAATGTGTTTGATCAACCCAAAGAAGGCATTCGACTCCATCGACTGAGGGGTATTATGGCAAGTTCCTGGTTCCAAAAGCGCTAGACAAGTAATTGAATTTCAGGAACAGCAAACCCAAGGAAACCAGTCCGGTTTGAAACCTGGCCGTGGGTTTTTTCTCGATTAGATATCCATCCTGTCTATCCGGCATGTGACCCTAGCTGTGTATTTTGATTTGAAGGCGACAGTCGAATGCGTCGTACTTGTGGTCTGGTGGCAGTGTCTGGCTTAAAGATGTATTGGATAAAGAGAATCAACTTGTTGGTGGTTATATACTGAAACACCCATGAGCATGTCAGAGTCTACGTTGTTTACTAGCGTCTAACTAGGATATCCATTCTCTCCCCTCATTTAATTTTGTCATAGACGTACATACTGAAGTTTCCTTCTCATCATCTGGCTTTGTAGGGATTGATGTTGTCACAGGAGACTCCTTAATAAGTCTAGCTTACGCAGGTGACAGTCCTGCTAAGGGAAAATACAGTCTACTGGACACCTTGAGTGGCAGTTTGGGATGCGTTTCTTGCCCACCAAGTGCAAAGTGTTACTCCAGAAGTGGTCTTCACTGATGTTGTGTTTGGTAATGGAGAGTGAAGTGGTTGAGGTAGTTGGCCATCGTCAGCGGGTCAACGACCGACGACAACTCTGCAGGGATACAAAGGCCTGGCCTGGCTTTTGCTAACTTACATAATCTATGTCACCGTCGTGATATCCGACCATCAATTGAGGGTTGAGTGAGCTGCGCCGTGATTCTCTCTGTTCTTTTACATGACTGTGAAATGTTGCCCCTGAAGATAGAGTACATCAGAAAGTCTCAGGTGTTTGACAATCGTGGCCTTCGTAACGTACGTTGTGTATCGTAGTGTCATGATATCAGTAACATCAGTCGGTCTCAGATTTTTGTGGAGGAGAGGAGAGTCAGTTGATGAGGTTTGGAACGTACATCGATTTAGATGTATGGGGAACTGGTCACGGTCTGCCTCGTTGCGATACGCTAGGTAAAGTAGGTTTAGGCTGGGAAAACGTGAGGTAGCTTGACTAAAATATAGCATGAGTTGGTGAAGTGTTTAACTGTTTTTGTCGGCCACAAAAGTAAATTTAGACATCCTGGTTGAAGTTCATGTGACCATCGAGACGATTGTTTGAAGCCTACAGTTTATAGGACTCAGAATCGACCTCAGTGGCATAGGCGCATCCAGACATTATTTTAATTGTCATACCGAATTTCATTATTGTTCTGTTCCTTCTTGTTTTCTTTCCATGACCACTTTCTTCCTTGTTTCTTTATCTCTTATCTTGGTGCATTGCCGCCGGATGTGCTGATATGAGATGTTGCAACTTGGACCATTATGCAGTAATGCCAGGCCCTATGTTGATATTGACTGAGTCATTTCAGTGAACGTTTGTTCAACGCAACAAAGTATTGAACCTCTTGACGCCTTTTTCGAATTGAATCATAAGCTTGCTGTTGTATAGTAATATAACATCAGTAATTGTCTGGTAATCTTCCTGAATAATTCGAACAGTTAACATCTGTATTATCACCCATGCTTAATCTTATTTGGATATATTCCACAGTGGGGAAGTATCGCTTATCCAGTGAATTGTTGTGTTTCCGTTTTTTGTTTTCTTTTATTTCATCGTATAAATACTTTCTTTTGATGAAATACATATTTTGGTGTTATACCACATTTTGATGTCAAATCAACCATAAAACTTGAGCAGCCCAAATAATCAACGGCATACTTCTTCAGTATCCTCGATTAACTCAAGCTGGGAATTGTCGTTTTGTTAACAAAGGTAGTAAAAGCGTGAAATTTTTTAAAACTTTTCGACTAAGTATTTTAAAATGTTTAAGATTCGTCACAAGCCACCCAAATGCAGGTTGTCCTTCAGAATCCGTCTGCATCGATGACACCTGACTATGAGAGCGCTCTCAGACCATATTACATACCTGAGAAGATGCATCAGCACTGGTGGTCGACAAATTCTTTGCACTTACGGATGGCTTGACTGGACTTGCAAACCTACGCAATCTGCTGTGCTGTGGTACCATGTGGTGTTGAAACTGCATAATAGTTTTCACCGTGAAGATTTTCGGCGACTGTGCTGCAAGGCATATTGGATCCTCTTTTTACGGGACAAGGGTACTGCAACGCCGTACAGTGTTCTGATATAGAAGGGTAACTGATTTAAGGTGAATTACATCAATCAGGAGGTGACAGTGGCAGTTCTGCCAGTCAAACCTGCCTGAAGTTTCTTTTGGCTTGAAACGTTTTGTTGTCGCTCGCGGTTTATGTAGTAGTTTTACATGTATGTATTCTCCCATTAGGTCATCTAGAAGACTTATTATTTTGTTTGATAGCACTTACTAAACCCGTCTTTCAGCTTTTGCATGATAATTTGATCTGATTATACAAAGAGCTATTATACTGTTTGATATTTTCAGGAACTTGCTTAAGTGGAGGGCGAAAATTCTCAACATCTTCAAACCTGCATCTAAGAAGTAATCAACTTTATTTTTGCTTGTACTTTTATTTCACGTGAATTTTCGTTTTACAAGATATAGACAATGGTTTGTGCAATATTTTGGTATCAGTTTAAAACGAACTTCACCATCATTAGATAACGGTATGTGCTTAGAATTAGTGGTCCTCGAACTATTTGAGACGGTTTTTATTAATTCAGTGTTTACTGCATAAAACAATAGATTTTCAAGTCTAACTGGGTACCATTACATAGTTTGTTGCGTAATATAGAGACAAAACATTACCTATAGCATGAAATGTCACACGTCTCACATTAATAGTTCTACTTACTTTTTGGTTTCAATCTGAAATTGAGGTTTTGCATCATTTAGTCCTGAAGTAACCATTCTCAAAATAAGTGGGAATGTCTTTGGTAAGCATACCAATTAGAAGCATGCTCCCAACTAAACGCTGAGTGGAATAAGTCCGTTTGTCTTTAGAAATGCACTCATGCAACGTAGTCTGCTGTAGAATTCATGCTTACCGCCTTCACATGTTGTGGGCATTTTCAAAAAGTGAAATAGAAGCAAGTATCACTTATCCGCTGACTTGGTAAATATGAAAGGTTCACCTGTGAGATTTGAGAGACCCTTATTTCAAACCAATTGTAGAAATGTGCTGGGGAATTGAGAATTGATAAATGGTGTACCAACCTATTGTGTTCACTAACGACCATGAAACTGTAACACCTGACACTACTCCACTTCCGTGGTACTGGTCGCTCAAGACAGCTTTTTTCACTTAGCGTTGTGAAAGTGTATCGAAGACCTTGAATACACCATAGAATAGCACTCAAAATGAATACTTTTGAAGGTTCATCAAAGCCTATTGCAAGTTATCAAATGTATTGCAATTTAAACCCTATTCAATTATTTAGCTTATTGTTATTCCATCTTTATTTTCGAAGACATGAACCTCATTGTTTGATTGCTATCATTTTCAAATTTGTCTTTATGTGCATCTGCATTTCACTCAAGCTGCCTCACCATTGAAGTATGTTATATTGCTGATACCTGTATAAAAGTTTCCGGTAGAGTGCTTCAAACAATGCTTCCGTTTCTCAGCTTGGAAGGCGTTTTGCCATGTACTTATTCGGGAACCGTGTAACATTGACAGCCATTCTACTTTTCCCTGTGTCACACTAATTGCTATAGTTGAATGTGCTTTAATTGACTGGACACTGATTAACGGTTGTCTATGTGATGTTAGTCTTTAAGATTCGATTAGAGTATGAAAATATCTGTTAAAGGAAACAATTCCCCTTCATCACCTTTACCTATGTTCCGATGTACTGAAACGCGAATGCAGAGTGAGTTCTAGCGGTTGAGTATATAGTACTTTTCAAAGCTCTCTACCCGAATTCACGCAGCCGTTAAAGGCTTATGGGGAGTTGTCATGCGAGCTCACGACAACAAGTGGTGTCCGACAGGAGTGCCCAATGTCACCGTTCCCATTTAACTCTATCATAGACGTCCTAGTGGACATAACCGTAAAAACGTCTGACTTCACACGTACTAACCTATTCCCTCGAAGTCATCTGGTTGACTTGGAGTATGCAGGTGATATTGTCCTGCTGTGTGAAGACGCTGACAAAATGCAGGGTCTTCTGAACGCGTTGAGCGGAACTCTAAGTATGTTTGGCATGCATTTCACTGACACGCGTCAAACGTAAGATGATACACTGGTCTGTAAACATTCCCAGTTAAATGATATGGAGTGAAGTGGTAGGATGTGTCCACCACTTCACTTACCTAGGGAGTTGCATCAGCCCGCCGAACGGACTACTTGCTGACGACATCTCTGCTCAGATATAGAAGGCCTACATGGATTTGGCAACTACAGTCCCCTTTGTGTCACCGACTGGCGAGATATCAGACGACGAGTATAACGCGCTGCAGTCCGTTTTTTCCTGTTGAACGTCTGTGAGACATAACCGTTGAAGAAGACATAAAGTGGTTACAGGGTTTTGATCATAGGTATCTTCATACCATTTCTCACATATGGTGGGACCACCGTGTGAGCAGTGTTGAGGTCAGGCGAAGGGTACTAGGCAAGATAGCCAAGTCGATTGATGGGGTTGTGAACCTTAGTCGACTGAGGTGGCGTTGACATGTGTTGCGAATGCTGATCCACCGCCTACCTCGGCGTGCCATGCTAGCGAAAGCTGGATCAGGCTGGAAAAAGGTTCAGGGAGGCCAGACCAAGGCGTAGTACCAGCCCATGCAGTCTCTTATTGTTGATCTGAGCCGTGTTGGGAGATGTAGACTGCCTGGTTCGGGTCTCCAAGACCATAAGAATCAGTGGTTGAGAACTCATGGTAACTTGGCTGAAAATTAATTGCAGTGGCGCAAATGTATTCTAAAGCTTGAATATTCGGACTAACCTTCATCTTCAAATTGCTTATTGTCTCACACAACTTTGTCCACTTTGATATCATTCTGGTTCTATCAGCCTGTCTTTGTATACTACTGTTAAGTGCGGCAACTTGAGCCAATGTACTTATGTACGAGGTTCTACGTTGATTCTGTCTGTCCTTATGTTAGTAGAGTGTTGTGTGCCAAACGTACTCAACAGAAATCTCGGTGCTTTCTAGGGATATTGAACATACGAGCTTCTAGGTAGCCAAGGAGCATTATTTGGCTAAAGGTGACCGTTTTCTACAGTTATGTTCAGATCACAACCTATTTCTAACTGTAACCAGTCTCCTAAGCACCAGTCGCCGTTTTGCTACTTGGCATTTTTACTTAGGGAGTCTAATTACTTCTATCGTTACAACGTGGTACCAAATTGAGCCAAGCTGAAGACTAACTGTTGAATGGTGAAGGATGCTTATGATTTTGAAAATACTGCGTCTCTGGTCCGTAAAAACTTCTCCACCTTCGTCATTGCATTCGGGCGCAAAACGAGCACTTTAGTCTGCGTCTCTTACAGAGAAAATTGCACATCAGTTAAACAATTGTCATAACGTTGAGTGTTTGGATTGCGCGAATGATACAAAAGCAGAAGCAACATTTGACAGCATTTAGAATATACTCCATATCTTTGGTAGCATTAAACCTGGTGCCAATGGGACGATCAGTGAGATAAATAGTGTACTGATAAACAACCTTCAAAGACGTTCGGAACGCCCTGGATAGCATTTCGAACAGTAATTTAGCTGGTCTACTGCTCCAGCAATTTCAACCTCAGTCTCTTGTACTCAGTGATCGGTTAACACCGACCTACCTATGGAATCTTAGTTTGGGAAATACTTCCAAGCACTAAAGGACTATAAGGAACACAATCCAGAACAATTACCCTCGGTTTTTAAGCAAAGGTGTGGGATTTTGATGACAAACCTAAATAGATTGTTTAAGAAGTTACGGAAGACTGAGAGTTTTCCCTTACTCTGGAATCAAACCATTACTATACCCACATAATGTACCCTACATAATGTTCATCTTCGCCTTCACAAGTATTGCACGCTAACAGTCGTAGTTAAGATCAGGGCTACCTTCAAATCACCTGACATAATTGTGCTCTGGAGTTGTTAGTTAGCAAAAGTTGCCCCCAAGTGGAGCTATGGCTCTTTGGTTTAGGTTGATGACTTTGAGCCGACGGGTCACGCGTTCGAGCCGCGTTCTACCTACCGAGGTTCGGATAGCCAGGTAGTATCGTTAGCCCTCACACAGTAGGTGTGGCTCACTACCTACTGCACAAATGTGCACAAGGCTGATGAGTGCACTAGAAGTAGTAGTGTCCTTGAGTTCATTAACATTTCGATCCCCCTATATAAGGAAAACACCTCAAGTAGAGTGAGACCATACAACCATTTGCCTCCATTATTCCAAACCAACACTGAGGTTATGCACGACTATCCTATTTTGCCATACTTTGACTTTTCTGCTAGTGACATTTTTGATAGAGCTGTGAAGGTGTGGTGTAAATCTGTTGTCGACTGAGAGACTCAATTTAGAGTATTCAGAGAATATCGTCGTACTGTGCGACAACGTGCAAACTACTCAAATCTCAACCAGTTGGCGATCAGTGTATGTAAGTATGGTATTTACTTTACAAAGCCAAAGCACAAAGTTCTTTCCTAAGATTGTCAGAAACCTGTACCTGCATTCACCCTTGACGGTGAGCCGTTGTATGCCATCGGAAGTTTGTGTATCTGGGCAAAAGATAACCAAAATTTCTAAACGTATTTTAAAAAGCAACGGTATATTTCAATGTAAGCTACGTCTAAAGTTGTCATGATGTTAAGTAGCTTTAAAACATTTGGTGTACACAGTGAATCGATGTAGCTGGTTCTGCTCTGCACCTATGAGACCTGGCGTTCTGCAGCTAAGGATGTCAAATAACTGCGTGTTTAATCATCTTGGTTTGCGTAGGTCTGGTTGGACCTGGTAGAAACGCCCTGCACATAATTCTGAAGTACGCTGGCACATTTTTGGTCTAAACAGAAATCACTACTCATTGAATAAAGCCATTTCAAAATATCGACTTTCGCTGCTTGAAAAAATGCAATACTGATGCCGTCACGTTAGCTTCCATACCTTTCATCCTGGAACTGGTTTAAAAAGACAAAAAGAAGTGATCTGTTTATGTGTTTGTTTATGACCCCGTGAGATGGTTGTGTTGGATTATCATCTGCTAACCATGTTAGCCGAATACTATCATATATATTCAGAGCATATTTTTAGGACTGCCCTTTAAGAATTTGAGCCCCATGCCCGAATATTCCACCAACAAAGCTTTGCAATGCGGGAAAATGTTCGGAATAATCTTTTTTGGATTTTCCAAACACTAGGTTTATAATGTAACTTATTTTTATAAAGAAGTAACGCGAGATCAAAAGAAAGTTAATCGTTTTTAGACTAAGGCCTAGCGTCAGTCTGCGAAGTGTCTAATTGTACGGAGATGTAGACTGTCTTTTTGTAAGCTTCAAAACGATAGGGATCGGTAGCTGGCGATGTGGTTCAAACAGATCACAATGGTGCAGATGTACAAATTCTTTATTTTTGAATTCCTGAGTACTTCGGTCAACCTTCATCTATGCTTTCTCTTTCTACTCTGATACTGTTTTATCTACTATAATATCTTTCTTATTATTTCCACTTCTTCCTTGCATGGTTTTGTGATGTGTGCTGGATTGAATGGTTGCACCTTTGTATCAGGTTCTATGTTAATTTGTCTCTCACTTTCTTAGCATATGTTGGTACCTCACAATTCGCTGCATGGGGGCCTGGGACATCATCCAACTCATGGGATAGGGACGATATAAACCGTTTCTTTGGCAACCCATTTCTATTGTCGCTTCTATGTTTTCTTTCCCTCCATTTCTCTTGCTCTTATTTTTTTTACTGTTGTGATATACTTTTTGTAGGATACATTTATTGAGACCCATGCTGTATCAAGTTTGTTTTAGATAGGCAAAATAATCATGCTTAACATTTTCGATCATAACTTTTCATAGGAACGATAAACTAAACTCGTAACTTTACTTATTGAGGTAACTCAGTTTGTATAGTACATTTTCAGTCTGCGCAAACTGAAAAACTGTCATTTTGTCAGTTTCCTCACAAGTGTTGACTTATTCACTTATCATGCTTAGGTCTGAAGACCCAACGGATTCATCTGATTTTGTCAACTCTGAAAAGGGTAACAATGAAGACGATGACGATCTTGAAGTGGAGACGGAAATTCAACGACTGCTAAACGAGGAAGAAAAGTTGAAGAAAAAGTAATTTCCAACCATTGTCACTTTCAGTTACTAGGAAATAATATTGTGTTTTCTTTGATTTATTTGCTGTTATTTTGGAAAGAGCCTTTAGTTTTTGTGTGGCCTAGGTGATTTCCATAAAAACTATTTTTTTCGGGCAGTGGTTTGAAAGGTGTGTTTGCATAACTTTTTGCCTGCAAATGTTTTTGACGTACTTTACATAAAAAGCACTAACATGTTCCCGTCAGTGTGTTACATACAGACAACACATTACTATCAATAAGTATAAACGTTAGGATAAGTGTATTGGTGCATCAAAGGCTTTATTTCTTTAAATCATAAGGTTGTTTATATGCGTAGTTCGTTACAGTTTGCAAAATGAACAATCGGAAGTTATATCAGTCAGGAATTAGCTGTTGTTTTTTTCTTTTGTTGTCCTCTAACAGTTTAGATTAAAGTTGGTAGTTGGGTTTTATACTGGTTCGTGTATCTGAACATATATATATATATATATATATATATATATATATATATATGTAGTTATTAACCATACTAGCCCTAAATCATAGTGAAGTTTTTTGATCTCTGTCTACTAATTTCTATTTGGCTGTGTAAAACCGTGATTTCTGAATTCAGTGCTTTCTTGTTTATAGACACCTTAATGCATAAATTATTTACACACGGGTTAGTTTTTTGCTACTGGCGTACAACACTTCTGGTATGTACATTTTTTTTCTAAATGGAACATACTGGACTTTTAACCTATTTTTTGTATTGTTTTGCTTGCTCTGCGTAGTTTGACGGCTTGAAATGAAGTTTATTGAGATTAACATAAGAAAAAGCAATAGTTGCTCATATCTGATTGGTTTGTTCTGGAACCATTCCTTATGTGTTGAGGAGTAAACTTAGCATTTTTAAGAATGGATAATCAGTTTGGTAAGGGTGATCACTCGTTGAAAGCGTTACGCGTACTCAGTAGCCCACTTGTATGATTGAGTTATGAATGAGTAATCTGTTGAGATTGCGAATACGGTAAACTAGGGACGCTTAATCTGGGTACTAAATGAACGAGATATAATACTCGATAACTAAGCTGAAAAAAGATGATAGTGGTGGACTGAAGAGTATTTACTTTAATCGAAAAAGTATGAAATAGTGTCATATCTCATGAATTTATATACAATGAGGACACCCTTAAGGAAACCAGACAAACTAGCACAATAAGGGTGGGAGAACAGCCAATAGGAAAACAGCGTTCAACAGTGAAAATGAGCAATACATGTGAGGGAATAAAAGGCGTGAAAAAGACAAATTCAAATATCTGTCGGAGAAAATTAGGGCATAAAATATTCATTTTTGGTGATCTAACAACCCTAACATAATCAGTCTTGAGATGGCAAATAGTTGGTATTGTTCTATGCTTCTAATCATATATAGACTACTGAAGTGTTTCAGGAGCACCACGAATAATATGTGTATGCTAACCCCATTTCATTAATTTTATTTGAGCTGCTCATATGAATCAGGGATAGGTATAATCTGAAATCGGACGTGTAACACTTCTCGTTGGTGAAGCTGTTAGCACATCCACAGTGTATGCGAAGTAAGTAAATATTGACTAGTAAGCCGTACACAAACAGACAACAGGATGGTCAAGCTATGCAATGTAGGTGATTTCACTAAACTAATATTTCAATAATCGTCGCCGTTAAATAAGAACTAAGATCGTTAATTTCTTAGTTCTACATTAAATAAGAATAGGACCTTGCTATAAGGTGTATTGTTACTCCATCGAAAAGTAGCTTTGGAGACTTATTGTTTAAAATTCTGTTTCATAATTTGTCACTTTTTAATGCTAAATAACCGATTTGCACTAACTTCCACAAAGTTGTTCTTGAGAGTTTTATCTTAAACTTATCTGCCTTAATCTTAAAATTCTTGTTGGTTTGGAATAAGCTTGAATGAGTTGTGTACTAAGGTCAACTGTTACTTTTTATTAATTTGTTGCTGTCATCAGAAAGTTGAAGAAAGTTAGAAAAGAGAAACGAAAACTCGCCGAACGTTACGTACTCAAAATGTCACATGAATCCGATCACATTGAACAAAATGATGATGAGTTATTCTCCTTGGTCGCTGTCAAGGACTTAGTTGGTTTAGACGAATATAACAAACTTTGTGGCGATACTAGTCATACAGGCGTAGATGACTTAGCCCGTGAACAAATCAATGCTGATTTGAAGGCCAAGCGTAAACGTTTAGCCGATGAGAGGCGTTCAGCAGTGGAAGGCAGAAAACGCATTCATTTTGAAAGACGTACTGGCGATCAATCTAACAAATATCTGTCCGAAAATGAACCTTTTTATGAGAATTCTGGTAAGTGTCTTTCTCAAAAACGGATGTTCATTTTTCAATAAACTAGGAGTTTGTGTATGAATCAGTCAATTTGGGATCACGTTCTTGGTCATTATTAGTTAATGGGTCTTTAGAGTCCTCTCAGTGCCTACTCTCCTTCGTCCTTATGAGCTTACCTAATTTTACGAGTGTTCATCTAAAACTTCAATAATCTGCAATATTGTGTTTGAACCGTCAAACCAACTAAGTAGAATAGGCTAACAGAGATATTATATTTAGAAGTAAGGGAAATTTATGTGAACACTGGTGAAGTATTAAAACTAGTACATTTTATATGGTAGCTATATTTTAAAGGGAGAATGTTAGTTGGATGAAAGCAATCGACAGAAAGCCCTTAACCTAGGTTTCGTGCTTTTCGGCACTCGTTAGCAAGGCGTATCTGCAATCTCGATGGAACTGATGTGCCACCAGAGATTCCAACCCATACCACCAGGTGTTGTTGTCAGGGTCGTTAACACTGAAATATTCGGACCTCGATTAACTTTTAGGGAGTGGGTTAAGGATATTTTGTGTGTGAATGTTGATTGCCCTACGACTGTCAGTCACATTTCAAAGATTTTTGGCTAGGTTTGTTGTTGACATAGCGACCATTTCATCAGGAATTTTACTGCAGTTTTGACCATCAGTCTTGCTTTTTTTTCGGGGTTTACCCTCATCTTTTTACTGTTAGACGATTAAAAAGAGTTTTCTAACAATATTGGTAGTTGGAATGTGTTGTAGATTTCAAGAACCACGACAGCTGTGATATTTTGCTCCATCTTTCAGGAATACTCACTAACTTAGTCTTAAGGTGTAAATAATCTGTGTCCAGTTCAACGGTAATTCCAAGACTACACAGTGATTATCCATCATTGTATAGGGCTGACATATGTATTTGTTCAGATAGATTGTTTTGCCTCTGAAATTTAATTTTAGTTGTACAAGCAATTTGTTTCACTATATAATGACCCTTGCTTGGATACTTGTTACTTATTTTTAATACTGCTGTTTAAAGAGATGTATGTAAACATGTGTTAAATTCATATATATAGTGAAACAACTTGGAAACCGAAGACATTTAGTATGAACTTAAAATAATTGAATTTAATTTTTAACAGTAATAATGCGATAAGTAGTCGAGGTGTTAGTCTTGAATCATACCTTGAACACCACGCTTTAATTCAAAACTATTGTAATTATGATGGACAATTTGTTTTTCATCGCCGAATTGAATCTGTAGTGTGATCCAGTAACGTGGAAATTGCTGATGTCAGAGGCTTGTTTCAAAGCAATATACATATATATATATATATATATATATATATATATATATATATATATATATATATATAGGAGTGGAACTTGGGCACTGGTAGGAGCATACATATAGGAGCATTTATATGTATATGTATATATCCGGTCATTGTACAGAAAAATAAACTGAAAGAGGTAGAGTTTTAGTAAATTCAGAGAAGTTAAAAGGATTAGTTTCTGAAGCTTTGTGATCACCTGTTCACGTTATCGCATCTTCAGAGGTTAAAAGGAGCCTATCAGACCAGTTTGTATGCCTGCACTATTATGTAAAGAAGTAATTTTCATGAAGTCAGAAATTTACATTATTAATTCGTCGGAATTCGACAAATTCCTAAGGATTTATAGTTTCGGAGGAAATACATCAAACTGTTTGTTCCCAAGTTGCTCAGTTGTTGGATAAACTGCTATTTCTGTTTGTTTGATATTATTCTAGTCAACCTCCAACGCGATGATCTCTGTGTAAGTTCCGAAAACAGCAGTGAAAGTGAATCAGGTGGAGAGGATGAAGAGGATCAAAGCATCAAATTAGATTCGGCAGATGAATCCATTGATGTCGAAAGTGATACTGGTAGTATCGACCTTCCTGTATCAAAACTTCTTTCAAAGGATAAGAAAGCCAAATCCAAACGTCATATGATTCTGCCGCCAGGATTGTATTTATCGACTACTGAACAAGGCAAAAGGAATCCCTTACTTGTTGATTTAGATAATTCTGAGGAGAATGTAAAGAAGAAGCGCAAAATTGACTCATGGTTTGGTTCGGATGAAATGAAAGTGAGGATTACTATGAATTGTTGATTAGTAATATTTAAAAATAACTAGGATATTCAGTGATTTTTTCTCATCCTTTCATCCGCATTCATGCTTTTGTTATGCGCTTGTGCTCGCAGTATCATAGCACGGTTAACTGTATTTCACTTATGCAATGCAAAAGTAAACTATTTCATACTTCGTAGCCAATTACTTTACCAGTCAGCATTCACGCAGTACGTTACAAAGTATTATCACCGTTTTCTGTTCTTATATGACATAAGTATTAATGCAAGTTGGACTGTAAGTTGGAGCCAGTGCATAATCCAGTAGTTAATTTTAAAAACAAGGAGTTCAGTGTTTAATTGCGTGTAGTGTTTAGTTACAAGCAACTTGTATTATGTATTGTATGTCAAATGAAAACTGAGGTGATATAGTATTTTTTGTATACAAAAGAAAATTTAAAATAAAGGCCAACGAAAGCCATATAATTTGTAAATGATATCCGAAATCAAGGTAACGATTGGTCACGAATTGAATGAACCGAATCGAAATGCTCTCAGCAACCTTGTGCACACTCATACAGTAGGCAATGAGCCACTTCTATTGTGTAAGGGGTAGTGATACTGTCTGGCTGCCAACACCCCACAGTAGGTTGAGCGGTGTTTGAACTCGTGACTTACTGGTTGAAAGTCAACAGTCTAAACCGATGAGCTGCGGCTGCACATTAATCTCAAAAGAGCATAGAGACTAATACAATTAACCGGTTAGAGGATAAATTGCACAACACGTAAAAAAGGAATTTCCAAGCTTAAGCTTGATCAAGGGCAGCATAGTGGCAAATTGTAGACAATGTTAGGTTCCTAAAAGATGCAATAAAAATTAGACACAGTTGTGGGCATTCAAGGAGAGAGATGGAAGGAAGTTTACTTTTATAGCTAATGACTAAGCCGAAGGTGGCAGAAAAGTATTAGCAACATTCTTTTGTACACAGTTCCGGTTTTTCCATCCACGTAGCATGAGTTCCTGTAGTACATATAAGGACAGACAGAATCAACGTAGAACCTCGTACATAAGTACATTGGCTCAAGTTGCCGCACTTAACAGTAGTATACAAAGACAGGCTGATAGAACCAGAATGATATCAAAGTGGACAAAGTTGTGTGAGACAATAAGCAATTTGAAGATGAAGGTTAGTCCGAATATTCAAGCTTTAGAATACATTTGCGCCACTGCAATTAATTTTCAGCCAAGTTACCATGAGTTCTCAACCACTGATTCTTATGGTCTTGGAGACCCGAACCAGGCAGTCTACATCTCCCAACACGGCTCAGATCAACAATAAGAGACTGCATGGGCTGGTACTACGCCTTGGTCTGGCCTCCCTGAACCTTTTTCCAGCCTGATCCAGCTTTCGCTAGCATGGCACGCCGAGGTAGGCGGTGGATCAGCATTCGCAACACATGTCAACGCCACCTCAGTCGACTAAGGTTCACAACCCCATCAATCGACTTGGCTATCTTGCCTAGTACCCTTCGCCTGACCTCAACACTGCTCACACGGTGGTCCCACCATATGTGAGAAATGGTATGAAGATACCTATGATCAAAACCCTGTAACCACTTTATGTCTTCTTCAACGGTTATGTCTCACAGACGTTCAACAGGAAAAAACGGACTGCAGCGCGTTATACTCGTCGTCTGATATCTCGCCAGTCGGTGACACAAAGGGGACTGTAGTTGCCAAATCCATGTAGGCCTTCTATATCTGAGCAGAGATGTCGTCAGCAAGTAGTCCGTTCGGCGGGCTGATGCAACTCCCTAGGTAAGTGAAGTGGTGGACACATCCTACCACTTCACTCCATATCATTTAACTGGGAATGTTTACAGACCAGTGTATCATCTTACGTTTGACGCGTGTCAGTGAAATGCATGCCAAACATACTTAGAGTTCCGCTCAACGCGTTCAGAAGACCCTGCATTTTGTCAGCGTCTTCACACAGCAGGACAATATCACCTGCATACTCCAAGTCAACCAGATGACTTCGAGGGAATAGGTTAGTACGTGTGAAGTCAGACGTTTTTACGGTTATGTCCACTAGGACGTCTATGATAGAGTTAAATGGGAACGGTGACATTGGGCACTCCTGTCGGACACCACTTGTTGTCGTGAGCTCGCATGACAACTCCCCATAAGCCTTTAACGGCTGCGTGAATTCGGGTAGAGAGCTTTGAAAAGTACTATATACTCAACCGCTAGAACTCACTCTGCATTCGCGTTTCAGTACATCGGAACATAGGTAAAGGTGATGAAGGGGAATTGTTTCCTTTAACAGATATTTTCATACTCTAATCGAATCTTAAAGACTAACATCACATAGACAACCGTTAATCAGTGTCCAGTCAATTAAAGCACATTCAACTATAGCAATTAGTGTGACACAGGGAAAAGTAGAATGGCTGTCAATGTTACACGGTTCCCGAATAAGTACATGGCAAAACGCCTTCCAAGCTGAGAAACGGAAGCATTGTTTGAAGCACTCTACCGGAAACTTTTATACAGGTATCAGCAATATAACATACTTCAATGGTGAGGCAGCTTGAGTGAAATGCAGATGCACATAAAGACAAATTTGAAAATGATAGCAATCAAACAATGAGGTTCATGTCTTCGAAAATAAAGATGGAATAACAATAAGCTAAATAATTGAATAGGGTTTAAATTGCAATACATTTGATAACTTGCAATAGGCTTTGATGAATGTTCAAAAGTACCACAGTTTCTTAGTTATACACTTATATTAATAATGATATCATTATGTTTTCTCCCTTGGTTTCGTAGTGGAACATAGGGCTACAGTAGCACGTCTCCAGTGCACACTGGTCTCTGCACGACAGCCCATAAGCTCCCATCTCTTTCTTGCACGATTTCCTACATGTCGCCGTCGGACGTCCAACTCGTCGTTTTCCATCTGGGTTCTACTAGAAGGCCTGGCTCGTGATGTCCTAAGTCGGCCTTTTCAGTGTATGCTCAATCCATCTCCACTTCCATATGCATATTTGTTGAGCGATAGGTTCTTGCCTCGTTGATTCGTTGCCAGAGTTCCTTGTTGCTTATTCTTTCTGAGCTTCAGTAACGAGTGAGGGTAGGCAGTTGTTGATGAATGTCTGTAGTTTGTTGGAAATCCCTTTCTTAACGCACCAAGTTTCCGAACCATATAGCAGCACTAACTTGACTGGATTGGTGTTGAAAATCCGGATATTGTTCACGCTTACAGCTGAGTGCAGAAGATCTCCACACTGGTTTCTGGTTGATGAACGCCTATCTTGCTTTTCCAATCCTGGCTTTGACGTCCTCGTCTGTGCTTGTGCCGTCTGTCGTTGAAACAGTGCTGTATAGATAGGTGAAGGGGGGCTACTTCCTTTAAGTCTCTCCCGTTGATGGTGATTGGAGGTTGTTGTTGTTGTTGGTGGTGGTTTGTTGGGTATCTTCATCACCTCTGTCTTCTCTACGTTCACCTCAAGTCCCGTCTTCGCTGTCTTGCCTCTTCTGTCAACTTGTTAGTTTTCGCCTGTAGATCTTCAAGTTTGTGTGACATTAGACACAAGTCATCGTTGAAATCCAAATCTTCCTCTGGGGTCTTCATCGGTCCAGCCAGTGTATCCCTCTCTTCTCGATCCTCACTGTTTGTTGCATGATCCAGTCCACTACAATCAGGAAGATCATGGGTGATAGTAGACAGCCTTGTCTTACTCCTTCCTGTTCTCACTTCAAAGGCATCACTGAGCTTCCTATTGTGAATTACTTGGCATGTGGCGTCTCCATACAGTTGTTGGATGAGTTTGATAAAGGTTTGTGGTATTTCGTAGTGTTGAAGCAGCAGCCTGCCAAATGACTTCTCGGTCGACGCTGTCGAAGGCCTTTTCAAAGTCGATGGAGTTGAGGTATAGTTGAGTTGACTGTCATTCTATACTCTGTTCTATGATGATGCGAAGTGTTGCGATTTGGTCCGCACATGATTTGTACTTCCTGTAGCCAGCCAGCCAGGCTTTTCCCGTCTTTGTTTTGAATCCAGTGCATTGTTTAGTCTCTCCAGGATGATGCGGCTTAATATTTTGCTTGGGGTGGTCAGCAGCATGATTCCGCACCAGTTCTTGCAAACACTGAGGTCTCCCTTCTTCGGCAGTTTGACAAGGTAACCCTTCTTGCAATCAATGGGCAGGTACCTTCCCTTCCTTCCACACCTTCTGCAATAGTTGTGTGAGCATATCTGCTGTTGTCTCGGCGTCTGTTTTCAGTGCTTCTGGCGGTATCCCATCTGGTCCTGCTGCTTTCCCACATTTCAGTAGCTTTGTGGCGTTCAGGACTTCCATTTTTGTTGGAGGATTTATGTTCACTTGTAGTTCAGTGGCTGAGCTGCAGGTGGTATTTCTGGACGAAGTGCAGGTGGTGATCGATTCAAGAGCTTCTTGAAGTGGTCAGCCCATTGTTTCCTTTGTTTCGCCTCTTTGATAATTACATTTCCGTCATCATCTTTTATTGGTTTCATCTGTGTTGATCTCTTCCCTCCCAGATGGATAGTAACCTGGTTATTTGATACAATGTTGTCAGGTCTCTGTCTCTCCTACCTGCAGCCTGTTCTGCTTCGCTTGCCAATGTGTCGTAGAAGTGTCTTTTGTCTTTGCGCACACTCTTCTTCACTTCTTTGTTCAGTGTAGTGTTTTATACGTTGTACTCAGTTCCTCTTCTCGTTGTGCAACCTTGCACTGGTTTATCTTCTGCTTCACCATCCTCTTCTCTATCAGCTTCCATGTGTCCGTCGAGATCCATTCCTTGTCCTGACTTCTTTCTTCTTTCTTCCTAATATGGTTATGTAGGTTTATTTCCACATAGCTTCCAAGGAGTTCCAGTGTTCTTTCATGCAGGTTCCTTCAGGGATGTTGTTCAATGTCTCCCATTTTTTCCCGATGACTGACTGACTAACGTGAAGATGTCGTCTGTAGTTTCGTCCTTCAGTTTCTGATCTTGTTGTTGAACTTGAACTGTGGTCTATCGTCACCAACTTCTTTCAAGGTTTTCAACTTGATTTTGAAGGTCCCATTGAACTAGATCGTGACTGGTGTGAACCTACATCTACTCCTCTTCTTGATCTTGTGTCTGGTTGGCTGCGTCCCACTTTCTTGAGATTGAGATAAAGTCGATCTGATTTTTAGTGTGTCCATCTGGCGTCTCGTGAAATCCATGCCGCTCGCTTCGTGAATATCCTTGTGTTTGTACACACTGCCTCCAATCACAAAATCATTGAATGCGCAGAAGTCTGCAAACAGTTCTCCATTCTCATTCATCATTTCACTGATTGCCTCTCAACCCATGATTAGTTCTCTTCCTGTGTTGTCTGCTCCCAGTTTACCATTCATACCACCCATTAGAATTCTGATGCCACCAACTGAGGTCTTGTCCAGTGTTGATTTCAGTTGTCTGTAGAATTCTTCCTTCTTCTCGTGATCTGCATTATTTGTAGTTGCGTAGCGTAGCACTGAATGATTGTGACCTTCCTTCCTTTTGAGTTGAATCTTGCTGCCATTGTCCTGATGCTGGAGGAGATCGGTTCGCACTGCATGAGAGAGTTCCTTCGATGGTCTTGGGGAAATCATGATAACCACTCCAAAACTGAGTGTGTTCGTGTTTGTCGTCTGGGTGACCGGAGTAGATTATTGACTCTCCAGTTAACAGTTTGGAGAGTCCACTTCCATTCCACCTGCTTTCGCAGATTCCTAGCACTTCAATGCTATACCTTCTCATCTCTTGGCAATCTGGGTAGCCTTGGTAGGTTCAAACATGGTGTGGACATTCCATGTCCCCACGTATACTTTCACTTTCATCGAGAGAAGACACATCGGCCGACTGGCTTCCCGAAGTCTTTTACCAACCGGCGTCATTTCATCTCTCCGATCCCAGCGAGGAATAATTGCGTTTTTATTTTTTATATTTTGTTTGTGCTTTGAAGTTTTTTTAGTGGTTAGATTTGTTTTACGGGGTAGGGTTGCTAGCCCTATGCCCAATGTTCCTTCTTTACCCAGGCTTGGGACCGGCTAGTAACTAGTGAACTAGTTAACCAGGTTAGGATAATTTACCATTCAGAAATTTCCATCATATTGGGAGTGAACTATCATAGTTGACTCCATTCAGAACAATGGATTCAGCAAACGACAGTTGATGGACTGATGTATTTCGAACTGAGAGCTTTATCGATGTTTCCCCCCCCCCCAAGGTCTCTTGTTTGTCTGCGTTTTTTTCTTTTGAAATGCTTACACCAAACTTAAAAATGTAATTATGCTGTAGGAAATGCTTGCTCCACTGGATGAAGATAACGATGATATCGTTACTGTTAAATCAAACAAGAAATCAAGTATATCGGATGACTTTTCAAGTGCCAAAACAGAGAAAAAAGACAACCTAGCCAAACGATTATAAAAGGTGAGGCAGTCAATATTTCCTATTGTTTTGTATCTTCATCTAAACTTCAACCCGTCTGGAATTCCATGTAAGCATGTATGTTTTTTCCCCTGCTGGTTCTACTTTGGTAAGGCGTCTAGGGAGATTTAGACTTCCGGGTTGGACTCCGCGCGCCAAAAGAAAGTGGTGCTTGAAAACTTGTTGATATGACTCAGAATCGATCTCAGTGTTGCAGAGGTATCCTCACAATATCTTCATCTTAACCGTCCTACTTAGTGTTACTGTTGTTTTATTCCTTCTCAGTCCATAACTTTCTATCAGTTTCGACTACTTTCTTTCCCGTTTCTCTACTCAATTTTGTATTTTCCCGCTTGATGTACTGGCGTGAAGTGTGGCAAGTCATAGCATTAAGTGGTAATGCCAGGTCCTGTGTTGATCCAGATCAACTGACTGGAAAAGTAATTAATGAACGAAATTCTTCATTGTTGACAATATTCCCAGGTAATATGGTGTAGATTTCACGTTACTTTCATTTTATAAAGATCATGACTTGACGGTAACATTGTTCCCAACTGTTCCCTGAATACACTTTTTACCATAACTCCAAATAAGCTGTTCATACTTAAAGCTTATTAGCATAGGCCAATAGGTCATAGATTCAAGAATTAGACGATTAGGTAATATCATAATGATTCTGATTTCCTATGGCTGTTAGTCTGACTGTACCTGTGTTACCTGTTTTATTGCTTTATCAGAGTACAGATTTCTAGATAACACTGGTGTGTTAACCAAATTTTGTTTACTTCTTTTGTTCTTGTGGGTTTATGTGTGTACAAACTTGTCCAGTCTAGGAAAGTCGACAAATATGATCCTTTTGTTTTCAGTGTATTTCAGTCGTGAGCAGGTTATTTGTTTTTATAAAAAGCAGGGTTAGATAATGTTACTATTTAACAGTTCAGCAGTACCTCGGAGTGTTAATGTACGTTCTAGGTCATTGTTTGAATCTGCCATATAAACTAACTAATCCAATTTTCAAAATTGACTGGATTGTAGCCAGCAGTGGAATCCAGGACGGGCGTTTCGTCCTATTCGGGACTCGCCAGCTGGATGTATCTGTACACTAGTGAGTGGTGTATTTCTCACTAAGACCCGAACCCAGGACCCGTCGCTTCAAACACCAATGTGTCATCCACTAGACTACTGAGGTGCAATAGTCACCTCTTATACAACGGGTATTACTAATTATTTGTTGATACTTAAAATTCTCCGTTATCAGACTGGATCGAATCGATCGACCTCGGTTGGAATATGGGCTCCTATGCGGGTGCATCGATATTGCCTGAATATTTATTGTTTTATAATTGACTTGGACAAAACGCGTCCTAGGTTCCACTGCTAACCACAACCAATTCAATTATAGAAAAATACCAAATATTCAGACAATATCCAGGTATCCGCATAGTAAAAACAAAGGTCGATCAGATCGATCCAGTACAACAACGGAGAGTTACAAGCATCATCAAATAATAATCCATTTTTAGTGTGGCACGAATAACCATTTTCTCATGAAGTTCATCAAGCTCAACCGTGGCTTACCATTCTATTGTGTTCGAAGTGTAACACTAAATTCACTTTCATGCAAGTGGTCAGAAAGTAGGATAACATAATACGGTTTACAAGTAAATAATGAACGATGATGCAATAACCTGATGATAATACTGATAGTTCCTGATAATCGCCTCAACCTAGGTAGGGGCTGAGCATTCAAAACGAAATATATCAATGTGGGACGAGCTGATTAGTGATCCATATGATAATAGTCAGGAACAAATTGTGTGTATTCATTATTCATGGATGTTTTTAAACATCGACTTTATATATACCACTGTGTTTGTGAAGCAGAATTTGAAAAACTTCAAAATGGCAATGAAAAACAAGTTTGTTTTCAGGCACCGAATTTTCAGGAAATAACCATAACTTTTGAGCTGTCAGATCATACGATACTCAGGATAGCCAAACAACAGTTCTCAACTATTGAGTGCGTACGTTTGATGTTTTTAATCACTGATGAACATCATTTAGTTTTTAGTATGAAGTTCACAAAATAAACGGCAACGATTTCATGATATAATTAATAAAGTACTTTTTTGATATAATCCCGTCATATTTTCTCATGATTTTATTATTAATGTTATCTTCAAGGAGCTTTAGTTATTATAATTCATGTTTAAAAAATCTCAAGTAACACATTTCATATCTTTTAATTCACCCTAGCCGAAAAGCTTAAAAAATCAACACATCTCAGTTGTCCTTTGACTCCGGAAGAGCATGCTATTGCAACTTGTCTCATTCAGTCTGCTAAGTCTAGACGCGAGTTACTTGAATCGGGATACCATCGTTTTCAGTTTTTTGAAAAACCCTCTGACCTGCCTGATTGGTTTATTGAAGATGAGAAGAGGCATATGCGGAAACCCTTGATCATCAAAAAAGTAATTCATTTGTCCTATCCTTTAAGAGTTATTATTTTTCTTGTTAGGGGCAAAATCATCGGTGAGTAGTACACTGGTGGAAAGACCTTTTCTAGGGTGTCGTTTTCTCACTGTTATTGATTAACACTGGAGTTCCAGGTTCAGTAGAGTGTGATACTCATTGAGATTTCGATTACAGTTTAAATGTTTGCTCATTTGTCCATCTAGTGTTGCAGTGTACATCTTTTTTATACATCGCTAGATTATTCACTGAAGTCTGCGTTAACAACACACGTATAGTATATAGATAACCATATATCATATTCATAACTTTGTATCGGTATTTCAGTACATTGAAAATTTTTATCAAGATGACTGATTGAGCAAAGTAATATGTCGCGTTTCGATTAGGTTATCGTTTTTGTATCTGGACTAATGTATAAGTTTACAATTCGTATCAAAATACCAATCATTTGGTGGGAGTGTTTATCAACAATAATTGTAGATTGAGAAATAAAGAAGCAAATAATCAACAGAGTACTTGTGCAGGGTTAAAGTAATACTTAAAGTTACATCATGTTTTGACGGCCACGGTAATGCAAATAGTCGGAGTACATAGGTTAGGTTTGTAAAGGTGGATTGCAATCGCTTTTGCTTTGTGAAGTAGATGAATGGGTAATCCTTGTGGTAAATTAATTGGTATACGATAAATTATTCTAAATATTTTCCTAGTATCCACCTGGTATACTATGTCAACTATGTTACACTGAACATCAACTAAGTTTGACTTCGGTTTTTATTGCCTTTTTTGACTGCTTTTGTCTGTATCATTTTAGGAAGAAATCCCGATCGATGTTCCAACTGTGGGGCGCTCTCTATCAAAGGCTGAGCAAGCAAAAGCACGTAAGAAGACTCGTCTGGCCAAATGTTTGAAAAGAATTCGTCAAAAGGCAGAAGGTATATCAGATGAAATACCAGAAACTGAGAAATGGCAACAAATAAAACAGTAAGCGCTTTTACTGTGATCATCAATAAGTAGTTGTATGAGTTCTATGTAGATACGGGTTAGAAAGTGAACTCTTACAATTCGCTCATTTCAAATAGTCAAGATTTTTGAAATCCAGTTAAAGTCATTCTTGCCTTAATTGTAAGCTACTTAGTAAATACATGTCAATTTTTAGGTCGTCACTAAGTTTTCTTAAAATCATGCGTAAATGAATTGTGGACAGTAAAAATCAAATTCATTTTTTTGTTGCCTTTTATAAGCATAATCTGTAATTTCTAGGCTGTCCTATTTACTTCCTCCACTTCTTTAGGATGTACAAGAAAGCTGGTTTGTTGAAAAAAAAGCGTCGTCCTCTTCATCTGGTTGTGAACACCAAATCTGGTTCGCTTACTAGGAGTGCTAAGGCACCCAAAGGTGCAAAAGTTAAAATTGTTGATAAACGATTGAAAGCCGACTTACGCGGGCAGCATAAAACTAAGGATGGAAAAAAGAATAAGAAGCGTAATCATAAAGTTGGACGTTCTGGAAGACCAATGAGTCAAGGAATTGGAAAGAGACGTTAAGAACACTATTTTATTCACTTCTATCTGTACATATAATCTAATATGGTTATAATAACTTCTGTAAAATCTACGAGCTTTTTGTTTTCTCTTTGATTGTTCTGTGTCTTACGATGCAGTTTTTAGTTAACTTGTTCTTAACAAGATACATTTTCCGTATAGTTAACGCTTAGTCTACACATTAGTTTTACTGTCTGTGAGTTTGAAAAACGACTGGGCTTATGAAAATTATACTAGTATTTCGTGACCGAGTCGGAAACCTCTGTAATTTCACGCCTCAACTTACGGATCTCAGTTATATATCTGTCTTGCAGTGCAACGATTTACAGTCTCCAATAGTAACCATTTGTTTTTTTAAGTAGAATTATCTTGTTTGTGAGCCGTGTTAATAAAGCATCCGAAGTTCAATCGTTCAGTTTTAAATTGTTCATTATTCGAATTAGACTTGGTGAACATAATTAAATTGTTTATATTCTTCTTACCAAAAAAGACTTCGTTATGAAAAGACATTTAATCAACTCGAACCATGTTGAGAAATATCATTTCACGAATATGGATTACGTAGATGTTAAACGTCTGTTTTTTAGCATGATATCATATTTTGACTGATCAATTGTCATTCTTACCAGTCATCTTGACCGGGATATCTGTTGCTTGGACTTCTCCTATAAATAATACTAGAGAACTTTGGAAGTGAATGCACGGCTGAAGAGTCACATAGTAGGGCGAAACATATGTCCAGGGCTACCAGGTTTTTAATTGCCCTCCAGCCCTTTATTTCGTTTTGCGATAAATGCTACCTTGAAATGAGTTGATATACACAAACCTCCAGTCTGAAAAGCATTTACACATAATACTGGAAAGCATTTGATGGAGGATGCTATCCTGTTCCGAATTGTTAAAGATTGGAGTACGTCAGCTTTTTTATATTGTACTATGCGTTTACTGACAGTATAGCTGTGTGAATTAAAAACAGAAATATGGTAGCATCGAAGACGATCTGTAATGGACCTCAGAAAAGTTTGGTTTTGCTAAATGGCCACCAGTAACTAGGGTGATTGAAATGCGTTCCTTTGTGAGCACTTTAAAAACTGCCACATCAGTCAATGATTTTTGTGAAGTGGTTAGTCATCACCCATTGAACCTTGCAATGTAGTTCCTACTGTAGAAAACGACAAGACGGAAACGAAGTAAGTAATGTTTTCATTGACATCGTGTACAGTAATCGTCAAATATTGTACACCTCCCACTAAGACAGTCATTTACATTATATACTTCATTTCCTCTTCTGCTTCTGTCTTAATTTGCTCTTAATACGCCCGCATTGTCCCTTGCGTTTTTCTGGACAGAATCTTTACCCATTGCTTGTAATTCCCTATGATTCCTGCCGCCCTCCCAACACATACTACTTATATCCATTCTGATCAGCAACGCCTAGCACACTTTTTCAGTTTCCATGAAAAGTTGCTAACAGTGCCGAGAACTTCACTTTCTGTCACTGTTTCAGAAGTATAGAGCATTCCAATCTCGTTATAAACGTTTGAAAATCTTGCCTTCCTCACGTTTCTCAGTTCTACATCCCTTTTAACTTTTTAAATTTCTTCTTTCTAGCAGATGTAGTTGGCAACGATATAGTTTATGACATTACTGTGTGGTCATCCAATTTACCACACTTCACATCATATTGTTATGAAAGTGAACAAGAGATGGTGTTTGGCTGAACGTGATAATATCACTTGATGGATCTATAAAGGAGGAAAATTGAGATGTTTTGTATTAGAATTTAGATGAAGATAAGGAGTAAATCCACCTGCAACAGTGGGAGATTTTCATATATCTCCATTTTCTATTTTGGGCGTCTTGCTGGATACGCCTATTCGTACCAATAGTTAGATGCTAGGTGACAATGTACTCAATGGCTTCTAATGATTCTGGGAACATTCTACAGTCTTGAACATCCAGTTTCAGACCCTGGTTGCTGTTAAATACATTTTGTGATGTGTGTGGAAAATATGGTTGAATAACGTTTATTGAAACCCTTTTCATCAGACTGCGAGATCGATGTACAATTAATTAATCTTATAAAACATAGCAACGTTGGAGGGTGTGGGGATTATTTGTTTATATCTAGTTCTTTGAAAATCCATAGCATTCACTTAGTGACAGTTTCAGTGGGATTTAAAAAGTATCGAATTTTTGATGTACTCTTCAGCTGCCACGCGGCCAGATAATTTAGCACATCCAGAAAATTGGTTTGATGCTTAAAGAAGTTGATCTCCAGTTATTTTCAAAACTAAACCTTTGATAATATGGAGACATCGTACAATGATCTAGTATGTCAACTAATTCTATCTACTAACATGAACAGCTGGAGATTCAGAAATCTAAGTAACAAAGTAAGAAATAAGTTCATGTTGTTTCCAGAGACACCTATCTGACTAGTCTTTCGTAAGTTAAACTAGGCGGATGGTTAACAATGGTGTTGCACATTTTGACGGCAACAGATTTGGGATAAATGGCGCTTTAGTACGATTGGACGTAAATACTATCAGTGCATCGCATTAGTAATTTATTTGGTTGAAGCTAGCGGAGGAGTCCAGGAAGTGCGTTTCGTCTTACTTGGGACTCATCAGCTGGGTGTACATGCACTCCAGTGAGTGGTTCCCACTGAGACTTTAACCTAGTACCCATCGCTTCAAACGCCAAAGTGTTATCCACTGAGACACGATAGCCACCTTTTGTACAACGGGCATTCGTTATTATTATTTGTTAATGTACTTGTACTTTTGCTTTGTTATACTGGATCTAATAGAACAATCTATATTGGCACGTCAGCTTCTATGCGGCTAGCCAGAACCAAGTGAATTATAGCCAATAATATTCAGGCAGTATCGTGGCATCCGCATAGGAACCCACATACTAACAAAGCTCTGTCAATTCCATGGCATTTGTAGTTTTTGTTTTTTCCACATGCTTCTATGTTTTCAATGTGTTGTAGGTCAAATTAATTCTCACTCTGTCGTCAGATTTCTTTTTGATCCAGACACTCGTTTCCTTTTTTACGGAATGATTCGAAGTCAGTATATATAACTATTTATTCAACATGATAAATCTTACTAAATCGGAATTTCATTGTTTAAGTTTGGTAGTTCTGTTATTCAAATGGTGTTTAGCAGAAGGATGAAGTTCAACTTCTTGGAGCATTGCATAAACCCAGGAAGGTGTATTTCGCTCCCATTGAGTAATGGCCAACTAAAATTGTAGAAAGAAAACGTAGTAGGAAAAAATTTTTTTTGATAAGTGTTATTGACGGGTAGGTTTTTTCCAGCATTTATGTAGGAATCAAGCTTTTCGTCAGTGATGTGGTGGTGTTTTAACTTTCTTTACGTTTGTTTAAGATAATTTATTTCTTTCGATTTCGTGATATGAACTAAGTCATCAGTGATAACTTGTACATAACTTTATTATCTGTTGCTTAAAGTATCATTTCACTCTGAATTCTTCAATGTTTAAAGTTGAACTTTGCTGCGTGATTTTTCGAACAATTTCTCATTGTCCTCTCACTAAAGTCTCAGTCGATGAGGACGCTTCTTCTTGAAGATAGTGTAGTAGGAGAAAATTTGTAATAGATTTTTTCATATTACTTGTTATTACAAGAGGAAGGAAAGTTTCTCGCGAAAAATGACTGGATTCTTATGGTAATCACTCATATAAAGAACTCAGGCTATTTTGGAAATGTTTTTCTTCAGTATCTAACTACGCCAATTAGATTTACAAGTAGTAAAGGCTTTAGTTGTTCTCATGATATTCCTAGTCCTGACTACATAAGTGTGTAGACTAGATTCATGAAGATCGTTGGACTGGAGGAGTGAAAAGGTACTTATACATCCTTCCTTTTCAGTGAGCTTAGGTTTGTAGTCGCAGTGAAAACTTCAACCTAGCTGTTATCGAGAATTAGGAATCAGAACGATACGTTAGTGGCTAAAGTATCAGTAAACTCGAACCTTGAATTAGATGATTTCAAGTTGGTAATAAGTGGCTTTTGGTTCATTGACTATTTATGTGTTACGGTATGGATCGATCTTGTTTAGTACGTGATCAAAATAATAAAGGTCTGTTAGTCAGGCAGGTTCTATTCTACGTAGCTGAAATCATTTTTCCTTTCTTAGGTAAAGCTCGCGTATGCCATTTCGATATTAGTCTTACCAATTTCAGAAGAAGCGTAAATTGCTTTTTCTAGCTACAAATTCCACTAGGGTTTGAACTATCTCCTTTACTTTCAAAGCTGAGGTTTTGAATAAAGCCAAATTGATCTTTAAGAATGATAACGGTATGTATACTAGAGAAGAATTATTGGACAATACCAACTGAAATGTTATATGTATAGACCGTTAATGGCGGTTTGGTGTTCTCTGAACTTTGATATTTGTCGTTGTTGACATTAACTTGTTTGCATACTCAGTATTCCGATACACATACATGATGAGTGGTTATTGTTTCTGGATTAGGTGTTGTGGTGAAGTATTGAAGAGAATAGTGGGCCTTCTATTAGCTGAAAATAATGCATATTTAGGTTAGTTTTGGTTTGAAAAGCCTCAAACAGAGAGGGTAAGTTAATTCAGGGAGAAATGTCTTGGAAGGTGAGGTTTCTGTGGTAATTGTTTGCTAGATCGATAGTTTTTATTTCACAACCGCCTAACGAGTTATTTTTAATTTACTCCAGCTCTGAGGCTTTTAATAACGATTCGAGTCTATGGAACAACATCCTCTTTTACCTGAAACCGTGCTCCAAACAACATATTGGAGCTTTCAACGTTCACACTTCCGACAAATGGGCTAACAAGCTTCGCTAGTCAACTCTGGTATCCTGGGCAATGGAAGTGTTCTGTGTTTATGAGAAATACGTAGGTGAACCAAGTCTGGCCATTTACTTGACATGGCCTAACAAATAACGGCGATTGATTGCTACAACTGTGCTCAGACAACTGTCTGTTTCTCTCCAGTATATATTTCAGACAAGAAGAGAGACGCTGTCTGACGTAGTGTCCACCAACCTCAGTCCAGTGGTAGACACAGGCAATATTGCTACCACTTACTTCTGAAGAAGATCGCTTCTCTTTTGGGAGAACGTTTTTGGACAGTGGCGACAAGTTGAAAAGTTGTATGGATAATTTTAGCTGGCTAGATAATTAGGGAAACAAGACATCGTTAGTGACGTTGAAGAAGCTCGGCACCATCCCCAGTGTGGTGTATGGGCAGTGGTATAAGCCACAGTTGACTATCAGAACCATGCCAAAAACGGTCTGTGGTTGACAGTTGCTTTTTCAGAAATAAGTTATGTGAGTAAACGCATTTCTGTAGGGTCTGAAGGTCGGAAGTAATGTCTGATGAGAGATCTACGCAACAACCACGAGCAGTATTGGGTGAGGAAGGCTAAAGAGATGGGGAAGTGTGGCAATCGATAACAATGGACAAGCCAAAGGAAATTGGATGAAAACGTTGACGGTTAGTAAGACTGTAGCGAAGGAGGATAGTTCCGCTATTCATTAGGAGAGGGGATAATCGTAAATATAAATGGGACACTTCGATGAACAGTTCAGCTGGACTCCAGTCAGTCTTCGGTTATCCGCTATCCAGTTGTATCCTAAATTTAACATTGAGATGGGGCCTGGATCACTCGCGAAAGTTTGTAAGGTTGTAATTAACCTGGAACAAGGAGGGGCAGATGGTCTCATATCATACGTATTTAAATACGGTGGCCAGGTTAGTCGAGTTGTTAGATAGCGTCGTGCATGGGAATGAGATATAATCGCTTTTGATCGGTCACAATCACTGTCTGAGTCTTCAAGAAAAGGGCGAAACATTCTTATGAAAACCACAGGAGAATCAGCGTGCAGAACGTAGTGTTTAAGGTTCTCGGTTCCACAAATATTAGACAAGTAATTGAATTTCAGGAACAGCAAACCCAAGGAAACCAGTCCGGTTTGAAACCTGGCCGTGGGTTTTTTCTCGATTAGATATCCATCCTGTCTATCCGGCATGTGACCCTAGCTGTGTATTTTGATTTGAAGGCGACAGTCGAATGCGTCGTACTTGTGGTCTGGTGGCAGTGTCTGGCTTAAAGATGTATTGGATAAAGAGAATCAACTTGTTGGTGGTTATATACTGGAACACCCATGAGCATGTCAGAGTCTACGTTGTTTACTAGCGTCTAACTAGGATATCCATTCTCTCCCCTCATTTAATTTTGTCATAGACGTACATACTGAAGTTTCCTTCTCATCATCTGGCTTTGTAGGGATTGATGTTGTCACAGGAGACTCCTTAATAAGTCTAGCTTACGCAGGTGACAGTCCTGCTAAGGGAAAATACAGTCTACTGGACACCTTGAGTGGCAGTTTGGGATGCGTTTCTTGCCCACCAAGTGCAAAGTGTTACTCCAGAAGTGGTCTTCACTGATGTTGTGTTTGGTAATGGAGAGTGAAGTGGTTGAGGTAGTTGGCCATCGTCAGCGGGTCAACGACCGACGACAACTCTGCAGGGATACAAAGGCCTGGCCTGGCTTTTGCTAACTTACATAATCTATGTCACCGTCGTGATATCCGACCATCAATTGAGGGTTGAGTGAGCTGCGCCGTGATTCTCTCTGTTCTTTTACATGACTGTGAAATGTTGCCCCTGAAGATAGAGTACATCAGAAAGTCTCAGGTGTTTGACAATCGTGGCCTTCGTAACGTACGTTGTGTATCGTAGTGTCATGATATCAGTAACATCAGTCGGTCTCAGATTTTTGTGGAGGAGAGGAGAGTCAGTTGATGAGGTTTGGAACGTACATCGATTTAGATGTATGGGGAACTGGTCACGGTCTGCCTCGTTGCGATACGCTAGGTAAAGTAGGTTTAGGCTGGGAAAACGTGAGGTAGCTTGACTAAAATATAGCATGAGTTGGTGAAGTGTTTAACTGTTTTTGTCGGCCACAAAAGTAAATTTAGACATCCTGGTTGAAGTTCATGTGACCATCGAGACGATTGTTTGAAGCCTACAGTTTATAGGACTCAGAATCGACCTCAGTGGCATAGGCGCATCCAGACATTATTTTAATTGTCATACCGAATTTCATTATTGTTCTGTTCCTTCTTGTTTTCTTTCCATGACCACTTTCTTCCTTGTTTCTTTATCTCTTATCTTGGTGCATTGCCGCCGGATGTGCTGATATGAGATGTTGCAACTTGGACCATTATGCAGTAATGCCAGGCCCTATGTTGATATTGACTGAGTCATTTCAGTGAACGTTTGTTCAACGCAACAAAGTATTGAACCTCTTGACGCCTTTTTCGAATTGAATCATAAGCTTGCTGTTGTATAGTAATATAACATCAGTAATTGTCTGGTAATCTTCCTGAATAATTCGAACAGTTAACATCTGTATTATCACCCATGCTTAATCTTATTTGGATATATTCCACAGTGGGGAAGTATCGCTTATCCAGTGAATTGTTGTGTTTCCGTTTTTTGTTTTCTTTTATTTCATCGTATAAATACTTTCTTTTGATGAAATACATATTTTGGTGTTATACCACATTTTGATGTCAAATCAACCATAAAACTTGAGCAGCCCAAATAATCAACGGCATACTTCTTCAGTATCCTCGATTAACTCAAGCTGGGAATTGTCGTTTTGTTAACAAAGGTAGTAAAAGCGTGAAATTTTTTAAAACTTTTCGACTAAGTATTTTAAAATGTTTAAGATTCGTCACAAGCCACCCAAATGCAGGTTGTCCTTCAGAATCCGTCTGCATCGATGACACCTGACTATGAGAGCGCTCTCAGACCATATTACATACCTGAGAAGATGCATCAGCACTGGTGGTCGACAAATTCTTTGCACTTACGGATGGCTTGACTGGACTTGCAAACCTACGCAATCTGCTGTGCTGTGGTACCATGTGGTGTTGAAACTGCATAATAGTTTTCACCGTGAAGATTTTCGGCGACTGTGCTGCAAGGCATATTGGATCCTCTTTTTACGGGACAAGGGTACTGCAACGCCGTACAGTGTTCTGATATAGAAGGGTAACTGATTTAAGGTGAATTACATCAATCAGGAGGTGACAGTGGCAGTTCTGCCAGTCAAACCTGCCTGAAGTTTCTTTTGGCTTGAAACGTTTTGTTGTCGCTCGCGGTTTATGTAGTAGTTTTACATGTATGTATTCTCCCATTAGGTCATCTAGAAGACTTATTATTTTGTTTGATAGCACTTACTAAACCCGTCTTTCAGCTTTTGCATGATAATTTGATCTGATTATACAAAGAGCTATTATACTGTTTGATATTTTCAGGAACTTGCTTAAGTGGAGGGCGAAAATTCTCAACATCTTCAAACCTGCATCTAAGAAGTAATCAACTTTATTTTTGCTTGTACTTTTATTTCACGTGAATTTTCATTTTACAAGATATAGACAATGGTTTGTGCAATATTTTGGTATCAGTTTAAAACGAACTTCACCATCATTAGATAACGGTATGTGCTTAGAATTAGTGGTCCTCGAACTATTTGAGACGGTTTTTATTAATTCAGTGTTTACTGCATAAAACAATAGATTTTCAAGTCTAACTGGGTACCATTACATAGTTTGTTGCGTAATATAGAGACAAAACATTATGCAGTAATGCCAGGCCCTGTGTTTTTATATTGCCTGATAGTTGTTTGGTTTATATTTACCTATGGAATTGGTGCAGTTTAATGTGTTTTTGTTTTATATGTTTTTCTGAGTGTTTATCTTTCATGATATTTTCGATTCGTTGTATAGTAGTAGTTGGTGAGTATCTGCAGCTTTACAGCCGTATGTATACGTGGTACTGACTAACTCTTCAGTGCCTTGAGATTGAAGTAGTTATGTCATTCTTGTTTTCGCGGTTTGGTAAGGGAATATATGACATCAATTTAAGTCATGTATAATAGAACCATATTTCAGGAAGTATATAATTATATCCTAATATAATTTCGGAAGGTGTTAATGCAAGTCTGTAGACCATGAATGCTATGAAAAAACTTGTCACTTTGACAGCACGTGCCCTCAAGCATTATTACATTGAATTGTATTCTTACACTTTGTTGGTTTCGGACGTTCACTTATCCAGAAACGAAAACCTTCTCTTGCTTTTTGGTTCAGTTTTGTCCTGAAGAATTGTTTTCGCTCTTCTGGTGTCATTCCTTTTGTATATGGACCTCCAGTGTAGACAGTTGATTCTTTTCCTATTTTACTAGTATTATTTTGATGTGGTATTGATCCTCTAGTTATATTCTCCAACTGGGATGCAATAATTTGAGCTCGAAGAGTATGGGGATTAATTTCTTTCTCGTGCATACCATTCATTTCATTAAGCTGAAAGTGTAAAGTGTCGAAATAGATAGCGGTTTATTTAAGTCTTATTTGAAGATTTTAGAATCTAGGTTAGAAGTTCTCACCTTTGCTTTTATGTAATTGGCTATCCAATCGAGCACAGAAAACCGCCTGCTGATGACGTCTACTTGTTAGGACTCATTGACTCATCACTAACCTTAGTGTTACTTTGGTTGACTGCTGTTATCTCTAAATGTCAACTTATTATATTATTATATCTTCATCATATCCTGTTTGTTTAAAAGCGACTGTTTTAATTCATTCTTGTGGTTGGATTTCGTCCTTGAGTTTGAAAAATTGTAGTATGGTATACACATACTTAGTGGGCTAACAGTTTATTCTTTGATATTTATTCATTTGAGCATTTAGACAGTCACCTTTCGAACATCTTGAGAAATTGTTATATTACGTCGTGTGAAGTGTCGCATTCAAATTCGAAGAATACCGACTAATCTAATATTTTTCCCTTTGTATGCTATTACTCAATGAGCAAATAATTCATAAAATGCAATTTGCATTAACACAGTGAGCAAAAATGTTCTTCATACAATTACCATAGAGATTCATGAAAATGAATCAGCTGAAACCCATCTACTAGTCATATAATTTGTTGACATACCCGACTTAGTCAACACAACACCTCACTAGAACCTGGAGAATTTCCATACTGGGTTGTTGAGTATTTCTTTGTTTTCAGTGAGTCTGTGTCTGTAGACCTACGGGTGAAGAATATTTTAAGACCAACCACCTATTCGCTAACTTGCAAATTTTATTGTAGGATATTCGCAAGCAATCATTGATGATAGTTGATAAGATGCAGCTACACTTTGAAGAAAGTACCTGATAAACTAAAACTTTAAAGGTCACACTAACAACAAGTGAAATTACTGAGTGACTCTAAAGGTCACCTTAGGAACTGCTTAGATAACCAATTGGTTTTTTCTACTTTATAAAAATCTACCTCTTCAGCCAAAATATTGAAACTTGATTAGTCATTCCGGGAGTTGCTAGGTTGGTCTTTAGAGTCACTCAAGTTACCAGTCCGACTTCTGTCTTAAACGAAAATTTGCCTTTGCAGATGGAATAAAAAAGCCTTAATAGCTATCTCACTCGTTGCTAGGGTGATTCCTAGACTTATTCGTCAAATGAGTGACTTTAAAGGTCATCCTAACAACTAGTGAAATTTCTCAATTTTCTAAAAATCCGCCTTTCCAACCGAGATGAGACCCGATTGGTTATTTCAATCGTTGTTAGGTTCTTTAAAGTAGCCCAGATAAAGTGTCGTCGCTAACTTAAGGACAAGCTTATTGAAATCACGAATAATAACTTTAGGTCGTAACGAAGCGATGGAAGATGTCATGTTTTTGAAAATGTTTTTTGTATAAAGGTGGTTTCAATTTGTGTATGACTTTCGCTTCCCTGACTGTTTCCTAAAAAAATTTTGAAAACTGTTTGAACAATAATTTTGTGACCTGTTTCTATCATGTGTTTAGGTATTGATCAAGATGGTCGTCTTCCACCAGCGTTTATCTAGGTTTCATACTCCATTTATTTTTGAGGCCATTTAGGTACACGTTCTCCCCACCCTCAATCGCACGGCTCATCTATTCTCACTATATATGTGCCACCCCACACACATGTAAATTGGTAAAACAATGGGGTGTGGTGGGGTATGTTTAGTTTTTTCCTCTATGGTTAGATTGGCTACCTTATATGTTTTCTTAATGGTTGGTGTCAGACTACGTCTCAAAATTATACTACTCAACTCCCCTTTGTATGGTAGAGTGATATAGACGCTTTTCTTAGGAACTGTTTATGAATTTGGCTTCATTGCTACCTGACTTCTACAGAGGTTTATAAACTTAAACGGATATCCGTTTTCCACAAATGTTTTGATCAGTAATTTGATATCTTCCTATATAGTATCTGATGTATTAATACGATAGATCCTATCAAACAGGTATTTTACTAGACCTCGCTTGTATTGGATTGGACAAAAACTATGAAAATCCAGGTATTGTACGTCCATGAAGGCTTTCTGTTAACTGACCGTCTTATTGAATCATTTTCTTATGGGCTCAGGAGTACGTCTAAAAATGGAAGGTGATTACTGTTCTATTTTCCGCAGGTCAGACTGATGTGAATTTGTACAGTGTTGTGTTTTTAGTTGACAAGCTATATCCCCATGCATCTTGCAAATCACTGTGATGTCATCAACGTACTTCTCGTAAAGAGAAACTTTGGCGAAGAGATCACCAGCAAGACGTTCGATATGTGACATATAAATAACAGCTAGTAATGATCCTAAGGGACTACTCATAGCTACGGCATAAACTTGTCGAAAGCGTTCACCTTCAAATGTGAAATGAACCTTGTCGGTACACAGTGACAATAACTTCCTCAGAAACTTTGTAGTAATAAGAAATGAAAGGTTTCTAGAAGACTTAGTCATATAGAATGTTAGTCGTCTTGGACAACGGCGCGTTAGTGAATAAAGAATTTGCATCGAAAGAGTACATAGTCTTGTTTTTGATATTCGTGTTACTAAGACAGTCAACAAGTTGAAAAGTATCTCTCAAATGAAAACTTACAGAATTCGTTTCGAACTGGATTTAACCTTTTCACCGATCATTTCGCCATTTTATGTATGGGGGAACGACACATAGACCATATGAAGGTAATGGATTATTTGTTTTATGAACCTTAGGTAATCCATATAAATTTGGAAATTCACATCCCATAGGTTTCAATGAATTAAGTTCCTCTTTGCTAACAGGATTCGTGTTCAAAAAGTTTAACTAAACCAGCGGTTACTTTTGCTTCCAGTTTTCTAATATCTTCTGATAGGATATCGGCTATGAATTCGCTTTCATCACTGAGGATGGATAACATTTGATTTTTATAGTTAGATCTATTCATCACAACAATACCTTATCCCTAATCGCGTTTCAGAAAGTTTATGTCTGATCTGTCCCATAATTCTTTCAAAGATTTGAAGTGCTGTGAATTCAAAATACTTTTTTGTCTTGTTTCTGAACTAAGGAATCGATGAGCAATATCAACTGATTTAAATTTTAACCAACTTTAATTATATGAAGATGTAGGGACAGCAAGACTCAACTGGTCCATAGAAACTTTCAAACTGAGCATTAATATCCAATTGAGAGATTTGCGTGTATGGGACTGAAAAATTGAGTCCAAGGCAAAGCGCCTCTTTCTCATGAGTTGAAAGTACAACATAGGACTAATTAGTCACAATTTATCTGGGACGCATGAAAATTAGTTTATATGAATGTTATTAGAACGGGATTTAGACAATTTTTGTCTTGTTTCGTACTTCGTTTTACTGATAATAGAACTACAAAAATTGATGAACTTAATGCGGCAAATAAGAGAAATGCCTGACAACACAGATGAGGCCATGAGTATGCATTTCAGTTAAACTGCATAACTTCTCGTTGCAATTATCTATGTAGGATTTCGTAAGCTGAACAAAATTTGAAAGGTTGGATTGCAGTTTAGAGGATCGCAATGTTTTGTAAAATTGTTTCGGAATATGTGATCAGAAATGCACGATTTGTAAAATTCCAACTTTACTCTTTTAGATACGATTTTATACTTTAGGTTAAAGAGTTTAATTGTTTCCCTATTTCATAAAAACCTAGAGTGACTTTAAAGACCACCTCAACCACTGCTGAGATAACGAATTGCATGTCTCCGTTTTGTGAAAAACTTCCTTTCCAGCCAGAGTCCTAAAACCTGACTGGTAATTACAGCAGTTGCTTTTCTTTGTTTCATGAATAAATACCTTCTCTGCCGAAAAACAAAAACTCAGTTGGTTATTTCACTAGTTGTTAGGATGACCTTTAAAGTCACTCATTTGACGAATAAGTCTAGGAATCACCCTAGCAACGAGTGAGATAGCTATTAAGGCTTTTTTATTCCATCTGCAAAGGCAAATTTTCGTTTAAGACAGAAGTCGGACTGGTAACTTGAGTGACTCTAAAGACCAACCTAGCAACTCCCGGAATGACTAATCAAGTTTCAATATTTTGGCTGAAGAGGTAGATTTTTATAAAGTAGAAAAAACCAATTGGTTATCTAAGCAGTTCCTAAGGTGACCTTTAGAGTCACTCAGTAATTTCACTTGTTGTTAGTGTGACCTTTAAAGTTTTAGTTTATCAGGTACTTTCTTCAAAGTGTAGCTGCATCTTATCAACTATCATCAATGATTGCTTGCGAATATCCTACAATAAAATTTGCAAGTTAGCGAATAGGTGGTTGGTCTTAAAATATTCTTCACCCGTAGGTCTACAGACACAGACTCACTGAAAACAAAGAAATACTCAACAACCCAGTATGGAAATTCTCCAGGTTCTAGTGAGGTGTTGTGTTGACTAAGTCGGGTATGTCAACAAATTATATGACTAGTAGATGGGTTTCAGCTGATTCATTTTCATGAATCTCTATGGTAATTGTATGAAGAACATTTTTGCTCACTGTGTTAATGCAAATTGCATTTTATGAATTATTTGCTCATTGAGTAATAGCATACAAAGGGAAAAATATTAGACTAGTTTGAATTCTTTGAAAAGAAATCTACTACCAAGTAATTCGGTGTAATGAACGGAAGGAGGCTACAAGGAATCGACTAACTATACCCATGTCGCAAGGAGTAGCTTTTGTGACAAATGTCGTCCTGTGAATAACTTTCTGGAGTTTTGAAGCGGTTGGCCCTGAGCTGAAGTCCTGAGAGGAAGAGCAATACTCGCTTGGTGGCATGTACATGCAGCGTACTGGTGCCAAGTAGGATGAAGCGAGTGTCCTGGACTCCACTACTAACCACTATTCATCATTACTAGGAAGCACATCTTATAGGGAATATCGAACGATGCCTCTGGTCAGGAGCTCATATGAGACCGATCAATTCAGTTCAATCAGCGACGGGAAATAACAAGGATAAACGTACAATCTATTGGTGTCACTGTAAATCCAATATAGCTAAAAACTAAATAAATCGAATGGTTTAATATAAAATGAAGCAGTCACTGATTGCCACTCTTCATTTATAGTTTTAAATCATTATAATGATGATTTAAGAATGCTATCTTTCTGGTTACCTTTTCACGTAAAAGAACCCAGTTTACTGCTCCGAGTTTCCTTGATACCATAACTGGATCATTTTTCTTCCAATGGTAACGCCTAGTGTGGAATTAATTCGAAAGAAATACGAATATATTTCCAAATTTATCAGTTACTATAGATTTATAGACGCCTTTTACGAAAAAAAGACAAAAATCATCCAGTTTATCGTTTTTCAGATATATCAAATTCTTCGTAGGGGGGGGGAGGTATGTATACACTGATAAAGTCATTGATTCTTAGAGGTATTTCTTGAGATAAGATCGGTGGATACTTTTTTCTATTGAAGGATTCCTGATAATAAGCATTAATTGTTTTTCACTGTGAGAAAGAAAATCCTATCTGAATGCAACTGTTTATTCAACTCATAACCGATTAAGTTTAACTAATTTTTGCTACCTGAAATAGTTGTTTTTGCCGAGTGAATTAGTTGTTACTTACGTTCAAATGAGAAGTGAAAGCAAACCTAAGTCGAAAATTATCCTGTTGACTACACTATCGATTATTTAAAATCAATGATAAATATGTCGGAAAGCATTTTAAGAATACTTAAGATATCAAAAGGATTCAGGAAAAATTACCCATACATTTGAATCTCTAGAAAGGAAGCAAAATTACAACCAGTCCAATTGCCTGACACCTCGTTGACATAGGACATCAGGTTGAAACCCCTAGTGCTTTTAAAATAGTAAATGTACAGACAGTCTCTGAAATACTTACGCTTCATGGAAGGGATTACTATAAAACGCCTTCAACCCGCCCTTTGTATGCAGAAGGAGAGTGTGGTCCGTCGCTGAATTTTGTTGTGATTGTGATTCTATCTTGTTTCATTTTGATTAAAATATTCTTTACTCACTTATTGACCTCAGCTCGATGAGCTGACCTCAATATTAATAATGTCATTTTGTGGGTCGCACGCAATTTTTTAGTTAGTACTAATTGTTCTCTTCTTACATTTCTTACTCAGTTTAATTATTAAACCTTTCATTACAAATTAAATATAGTTTGAGGTTTATGGGGATTTAATTTTTAAGGTGATATTCACCATGGACTGATATCATTCGGACAATTATTGAAAACCTGGGAGCCCTGGACAGCTGTTTCGTCTTGATACAGGACTGCTTCGCAGTACGCACTCACAATTCCGCAGGATGTTCCTGTTTCACGTCGAACGCGTTAGCCAATCAGACATTGGGTTAAAGTTTTATGTCGCACAAAATCGAAGCTCTAATGGGGAAAGCTAAGAAGTTGGAAGAGAGGCAGGGCAGCGAAGACGTGACTTCAGGTGGACGTAGAGAAGACAGAGGTGATGAAGATACCCAACAAATAACAATGACAACAACATGCATCAATCACCATGAACGGGAGAAACCTACAGTAAGTAGTCTCTTTCACCTACCTACCTACCTACCTAGGCAGCATCGTCTCAACTACGGGCCACGGCACAGATGGGGATGTCAAAGCCAGGAGATCTACTGCATCCAGCGTAAAGAACAAGATCCGGATTTTTGCAGCACTAATTCAGTCAAGTAAGTCAGTGCTTCTGTGTGATGGTTGAGGGACTTGGCGCGTTACGAAAAGCATTTCCAACAAACTGCAGGCATTCATCAACAGCTGCCTACCCTCGATACTGAAGATCAGATGGCCAGAATAAGTAACAAAAAACTGTGACCTGCAACGAACCAGCCAAGAACCTATTACGCAACAAATGCGCAGAAGAAAGTGGAGATGGGTTGGGCATACACTGAGAAGGCCGACTGGGGACATCACGCGTCAGGCCAGGCCCTCGAGTGAAATCGAGATGGGAAACAACGAGTTGGGCGTCCGAGGTGAGGGTGACATGGAGGAGATCATGTAAGGAAGAAATGAGAGCTTCTGGGCTGTCGTGGAACCAGGTTCAAAAAATTTCAGAGAACAGAGTGCAGTGGACACGTGCTACTGAAGCCCTATGTTCCACTAGGAACCCAAGGGACAAATAATAATAATAATAATAAAAAATCCACCAGTCTTCAGTTGGCATCAGGTTTGCAGTTTATGGGTATTTCATTTTTAACGTAGTATTCATGACATAATGACATATTATGTAGATTAGCAATGTTTTTAATGTGCAACTTAAGATTGCTAACTTCTTATTTTTAATTATTTTAAGCATTTATAACCATTGTAATTTTAGACTGTATGTAGCTGAAGAATATTCGTGAAATAAAATGATGATACCATTTTAATTTTCAAATGTAGTCTTTCTTGGTTTTTCCAAAAATTATTCAAATATCTTATTATAATTGATTTTTGTTTACTGAAGAACACGATAACCAAGAGAACATAACTCTTCAGAAAATACTGTTTCCTTAATGAAGATGTTAGCAAAAGGATGAAGTGTATACGGGTTTTAAATTACACGATGCTTAGTGAATAACACTTTGGTATTTGAAGGGATGGATACGAGGTGTGAGTCGGAGGGGGAACAATATCACTCACTTGGGTGCAGGTACATTCAGATGATGTGTCCTAAATAGAACACTTTTGCTTGCGATATCTAAAATTAATTTAATGTCCTAAATTAAGGTAATTATTTCTTAATGAAGATATAAAAATGACTCAGCTTAAGAGAAATATAGGGAATCCTTGTCATTTCATCCGAGTAGTGATAGTTCTAGTTGGATACTTCAGGCGTTTTTCTCCTACTTCTAGGATTTCTAGTTTCAGCTTGTTTCTTTATTTGCTTCGTTGTTGCCAGTTACACTTTGATATATCCTTCCAGATAAAATAAACTGGCTATTCTTCTACTCATCTAATTATTTAGCGAATACCTCTACATCTGTTTATGTATATAGTATGAAATACATTTTGCAACCAATACTGTTTTCATGCTAATAATACTCTGGTTTGATAGTAACACCAATTCAGAAGGTGATGTTTTGGTTTTACTTGGTTTCAAAGCATTTATGCTTTAATCTTTCTTTTTCCCTAACTTTTGTCTCTGAATAGTATAGATAACATGTCATTGGTGGTTATTTTGATCAGTGGATAAGTAGTCATTGAATGATAAGTTTTCAGGTAAAAATAAAGAATACAATGATTCAACACTCCCTCCCTTTAGCTATATATCTGAAAAGAGCAATATAGTTGTGTTGAATAAAAGTTAAGTATGTTTGGCTTTTAATACTTTTAGAACTAGATTACAAAAGTGGAACCGCGTAACTTTGATTTATTGGTTCAAATATTTGACTGTCACCCAGTGGGATATAAATTCTAATACTTAAATCATTCAGAGCAGCCTAGTTATGTCATAAGATCTTAGGCATAAAGTTTGGCTCAGAGCTTAGTACATAAATATATATTTGTCATGTAAGCTTTATGTAGCTTGATTGACATTGGTGGTTATTATTTCATCTCCAGACAGTGTGCGGAATCAGTAACTTTGAAGTTAATTGATATCTCCACTTGTTTTAATACTTTTTAATCTAGGGTGCCATATTAGGCTTACATGGCAACATGCCACTTACCGGCAGTGTTACTAAGTCATATCTTAGAAATTGACGGAAAACAGATATTACTGTACATGTGAAAAGCATTGTCTTTAACTGATCAAACAGTCCGATAAGAAACGGTCTGAATTCTAGAGAAAACTGGATTTTATTCCAGTTTTAACAAGCAGTTGTTTATCTATAAACCAGTTCGGTAATTATGCTGATCGTAGATAACCAAGTAACGTTAGCTTGTCAACTTGCTTAAGCGAGTATGAGCGTCATGATTATAACATATAAATACAACAGTGAATGAGTGAAGTGAAACTTTGACTTAACGTCAGTGGTTTGCGTATTGTAGGTGAGTAGATGAATCTCAAGGTCCTGAACCCTGAAAGCATCAGCCTTAATCTTGACGGTAAACAGGTTTTTTCTTAGCCCCAATGATTATCTCCATGCATTGAAACTTAATGCTTTTCAGTAGAAAGGAATAAAAGATCCTTTTGATATTCCTGATACTGTTACTTACATTGTTAGATAAATCGTTGATAGCTAAAAGTACGTATATTTCAGCTCTTCGCAATAACATATGTCTTATTCTCATTCTTTTATATCGGACATATCTATTATTGATCATTACATTAGGAAATAGGTGGTAATGTTTTTCGTGTGCTACTTTTAGGAGAAAATGGAAAAAAATATCACTGGACATTCTATCTGCAGAAAAAATCATGAAATCCTCAACACTGTGGTCATAATAGCATTTACAGTTGAATCAACTACTAAATGTAGTTTTATAAATTATAAGGAAAGTGGTATATTTTTCAGAATGGATCAGGTAACCGTTTTTCAAAGTCTGTTTTAAACAAAACTAATTGGTGATAGGAAATGCTTTAAAGTTGCCAGATTTTCGTATCACTGGATTCGGTCGTAGAATTCTTGACTTATTTACTCTAGGAATAGTCAATTGTATGTGAACTGAAGATATAGTTTAGCCTTCAGTCTTAATGATTTTCTATTTAACAGACTGCTGTGTAACCACAAAGTTAATTACCGCAATACCGTTTTGAAGTCTCGCCAAAGCAAATAGTCAGTTACGCCTGGAAACAAGACACTATGCATTGCACATCTGGTTTTCTGAAATCTAAACTTTGTCAAACTCTAAGTATTATTTACTGATGAGTGTAGGTGTCTACGGAATGTTGATCCACGGTGCAAGTTTAGATTTCTGACAACCGTCGAAAACGAAATATTATCAATGAAAGTGGTATCCATGAGTAAAGTTATCACTTACCAGTAAATAACATCTTTTGCTTCAGATGAAGGAACTTTACGTGTGCTCATTCTCTTCAAATATACCTAATGCATCAAAACAACTTTTAAGATTGTGAATAAAAATCTTACTATCCATTAAGGTAATTTCAGTACCAATGACCTTACAAAACGAATATTCATAAGTTTAAAAAATCTTTTCTAAGATATTGAATACTATCGCAATATATATATATATATGAGACAACCACCTTTTATTGATCTGTTAGACCACTAATTAGTTTATTTTTTCCTAAGGTAGACAGGTGAATTATTACACCAACTTGAGTGCACACAGATAATTTATCTTCGATTTAATTGATAACTAGGAACAACCTGAAGTTTATGTGTGATAAAAAAGGGTCTACACACTTCTCATAATAACAGTCAACTTGCTTTCATAAAGTACATCGAATAAGGTGACTCAAACTGATAGTTTTGTTATCTGTATTGAGTGGGAAGTGTTTCAAGTGGATAACTTTACTATGATGTATGCGGACTGTTATACTTAAATGCTATACACATTACTAAGAAACCCTAACTAATATGAAACTGTTGCTTAGTATTTTGTGATACTTTGCGCTTTTGCTTTTGACTTGACGCAGTGATCTGTTCAAAAATGCATCCAAATAGTTAATTTATCCAATGGTTTTTTGTTTACAGTCCTCTATTGCTCAGTTTGTCAGAAATTGTGATCTTTTTCTTAGTTATACAGCTGAATTTTCGCATTTTTATGCTTTGGTCGGGTTTTCTTGGATGAAGTTGCGTAACAGACAGCGTTCAGAGAACAACAACCAAAGAAAGATTACTTCCTTTTGTGTTTTCTTTAGTGACTGAGTGAAACTCATTTTGAAAATTCAGGTTATTTTCAAATTGACAATTTATTTCAATTTAGTACTCACTGGGAATCAATATAAGTTGGAGAACCATTAATAACTTGGAAGCACTTGGCACCTGTTTCACTCTAGTATGGAACTTTCCAGTAGTACACATCCATGACCTTATCAGAAATAGAGCTCAAGACTTCCAGTTCACGCGATTTGCGTGTTACCGTTCTGCCACTATGTCGCAGTACAATCGTCTACAGTTTACTAGTTTTGTCACTTCTCTATGTAGCGCAACTATTATCCAACGTCATCACTTGGTATCGACTTCACTTTTAACTTGGGTGACTCCACAGTTCATGTCTTCTCACTAGAAATTCGGGATATCTATCTCGAAACACTTCACTAAAACGGATTTATTTACTGTAAGGTAGGTCGGTTGATCCCTGGTGGGGTCAAGGGTAAGCACTCCTGAGGAGTCCCATACTAGGGTGAAAAGGCTGTCCAATACTTCCAAGCCCTCAAAGATTCTCCAGCGGGTGTTGATTCCCGATGAGTACTAACCTCATATATTTAATCCAGAAGAAATCTAATTGAGTATTTACTGTCGACTTGAACTGATGAACTTAAGTGATCTTATTTCGTAGATCTTAGCTCTCCGTAAACTTTACACGATTTTCACCGAAGGCCAAGTTAGGTGTTAAAAGGCATAGCTACTCTGGATGAACTGAGATTATCCACTTTGTACCTGGGCAAAATCCATTATTTTGGGTTTACATTGTATAAAGTTGTGGATTTGTGAAGTTTAGTCTACCGAGTGAATTTTTCCAAATTAGTGGTAGCAAATGCATGCACTTAGGAAACCACATTCAGTTTCACGTGGTAGATTATAAGGCGGGACTGTTGCTGGGTGACTACTGAATAAATGCAAATCAGTAAGTGAAGCAGGTTCTAAAACTGTGATCTGTAGGTTGAAGGTTGAGTTTTTAAGCGAAAGAATAACATCTTAAGTTGGTATCATTGACATATAGTTTTAAAAAAAGGACGAAAACTTTACTTTTAGCTGTAAAATAGTGGTCTGTCTAGCAGTAAATTAAAGAAGTTTAAAATTGGTATCCGTTTTAGACAAGCCATCCCAGCGTTCTGCAAGTCAGCTACATTGTAACTGGTGTTTTACTGTGTACAATACGCTGATTTACAAAATAAGAATTTATTAGCCGGACTATAAGTTGGGAGCCATAAAATGGTTTTCTCTACTAAATTTATTTCATTTCACTTCAAACTCGAGTGAAAGGCGAGTAAAAATTTCAAAGCATTCGACAAATTACGTTTCATTTTCACTGAATTTCTAGCGCAGATTTTCACTTAAGATAGTGTTACGAAATATTTACCGAGGACTGAAGCCTAATAAGATTTCCTACTTATTATTTCGTTAGATATTTGACCTTTGGCTGAATCATTACATCCTCATTCGTCACCCTCATATACACCTCGGTTAGTAAAACGAACTTGTATTTTGGTAATAATAATGATTTAGTTTGATGTTTGTGGGGATTTTATTTTAGGGCTGTTATTCATTATGGACTGATATCGTTTTGGGAAAGATTGGAAACCTTCATACTGCTGAGAAGTCCCACAGCTGTTCAGTGCTCCCAGGTTTTCAGTGGTTTCCCAACTGTTCACGATGAATACAACCTAAACGAAAAATTGTTTGAATTTACTGAGTTGCTTAGATTATCTGCTTTTTTATTCTGTGTGCACAAAATACTATAATCGCCGTCGGTGGTCTTCCTGAATGGATTTGAGTGTACCAATTCTGGTAGGGATTATTTACCAACATCACTTCATCCTTCCAGCGGTGAAAAGTTCATCTATTCAGACTGTTGACCATAAGCAGATACTCTTGAATATGCAAGCATTATATACGGCAATAATATATTGTTTTTCTGTCATTTCTTTATTGGACTACTGACAAATGGATTGATGTTGCTTCCTGTAAACGTGTGTTCCACTTTTCTTTGAATATAAGTGAACTAAGAGACTATTTTGAATTACATTGTATAGATATCTGCTAAACGAAGTAAATCAGACTTTAGATATCTTTAAAAAAAGAGAATTAATTGTGCATAAAATTGTTTTCAACAGCTTTCTGTCAAACCTAAATCATTATGATCTTATGAATGTTATTTTAGAATAACCAGTTTGATGGAAAACAGAATTATACTTGAAACAGCATCATTGGTAAGTAATAGTGAGTGGAGTTGCATGGAAATCATATTTCTGTTGGGTTTTATTTCTCCCTTGCAGTGGTTGGATGGAGGTCACCTATATCGTGAACTGATAGAAGTAGGAGATATAGACTGTTGGATTCCGACCCAGTGTCTCAGTGGTAACTTGCTGGCCTCGGAACCTGAAAGTCCTAGGTCCTATCTTTGGCGGGGCCATGGGTGTGCGCTGCTGAGGAGCCCCGTGCTAGGACGAAATGGCTGTTCAGTGCTCCTAGGTCTCTAATGTTTCTCCTGAGGTCAATAAATAATTCCCCACAAAGCTTCAAACTGAACAACGATTTTTGTTCGTATTGTCCAGCTTAGAAACGTAGATGGTATCTTTCAATCATCTAGACTTATTTTCCATTTGACACCATCTTCTGTATATTTTTAGATTCCGATTAGCACTAAACTGATGACTGTTTCGTAACTTATATGCTGTAGTTTTTATTACATCTATTTACAATGTTGATTGCTTTAGTCACTCACAAGTTTATGTATGTCTAACGCCCGTTACTGTAAGATTAAACTCATAGTTTTATAACTGTGAAACCTTACAAGGAGGTTATGCAGACTAGTTCCTCTATTAAAATCAGATCTTTTTTGATGCGAATTTCAGTCTCTGAGGATGAATGCTTCCAGTCAACGCTGCAGATACACTTTGCTAATCAATGCCACTACATAAGTTGAACAGAAAGGACATGAGATTTTGAAATAGATGCCAATATTTTATACTTCTGTGATTAGGAAGCAATTAGACTAGCTAATGAAATAAATTACTCCTAAGCTTAAATCAAAACTTTTCTGCTTGGCTACCTACAACCAAGTAATGTATGAGAGTAGAATCCCACGAAGATCACTGTCAGAAATACAGGAATAAATCTATACGACGTCATTGGACTAAATGCATTCAGAATCTCATATTTCAGTCATATATGACTTTAAGAGAACATAACAGTAAACTGTGCCTGTATAGAAATATGCTTTGTTGATACTGGGTAATGACTGAAGTGAAACAAAAATATGATCAGCAGCAGGTTCTTGCAGCTCATTAGGTAGAGCACTGGGCTGGAAACTCGTGGTTGCTGGTCCAAATCCTTGCAGAGCCTAGATTTTCATTTCACCTTCAATCATCATCTAGTATCCTCACAGATCTGTCAAACCAAGGTTATCTTCGATAATCAGACGGATAAAGTTGCTTTTATTGAGTCGACCTCTGCATCACCAATGTAGAGAAATCTTTGTTCACTAATCGTTCATTCGTAATCAACTTTATTTTACATAATCCTAGCTACTGACATAAGACTGCTTATTAGGCTTTCCGCATGGGATAGTAAGCCCTAAAGACTAGAGTTTGTATTTGTACTACATTTTTCTGAATATCAGCATGGTTTGACTCGTTTATAAGAAGTGTATCAAGGGAGATGAAAGAATTTAACCATTGTCGAGAAATTTGAAGCTGGTTCTTGTTAGGAGTTAAAACCAGTCTCATAAACTTTAATTTGTAATTAGCAGTGAAAGAAATTATTCATTGTCTTCCCAGAACTAATCAACACTATGTTGGTATGTTTAAGGACTACGGACTTTAGAGGAAAGGAAAGGTTATAGTGGTCAATTGAAAAAGTTCCTTGGGACAATATTTTCAAGCGGTTGGGGAAGCTTTTGCTGAGAATACACAGAAACGGATGAATTTCTAGAATTTAGCTGATGAGTATTATATATATATATATATATATATATATATATATATATATATATATATATATATATATATATATATATAATACTACGCACATGAAAATTCATTAGGAAAAGTTAAACCAATGCATACTGATAGTACAGTGAAATAACAGGCTCTCCTATAAGATTACTTTGCTGAAGATTCGAAACTACTTTAGCAGTGGATAACTTTGAAAATTAATTTTTTATTATTTCTGGTATC